ACCTGTGTCAGTCACCCACATACACCCTAAATCCCGCAAGCAAAGATGAGCAACACAGTGTCCTCCTATGAACACTACAAAGAGAATACACATAAGCACCACCACTAACATGTGTGATCCCTAGGGAACACTACAACCAGATGTGTAACCACTGGCAAGCACAATAAAGCATGTGTTTGACCCCCTGGTCATCACAACAACAGCAACAACAGCAGAGGGAGGGGGTCGAAAAACAAAAAACTTGAACTGAATCTATTTCTAACTGGCTGTTCTGTGACTAAATTCTCTCTACTATTCACAACTTCTGCTTAAAGAATTTATAATTCCTGTAAATCACACAATCAGTATTACCTCCCAAACTGCATACTCATCATCTGGAGATTTTGTTAAAGTGAAAACTATGATTCAGTACATTCAGTGAGGTGATTCTGCATTTCCAACAAGCTCTCAGGTGCCTAGGTGCTGGTGCTGAACAAAATACACTTTTGTTTAGTATGAAAAACCTCAATCTAACAAAGGGGAACATTAGCCCATTTATCTGTAAACAGATCTGTAAATTTTTAAAATAGTGTTGGGGCGTAAATACAATTAGCATAACCATCATGCCCTTAGAAAACAGGCCCAAACTCAGGAGGGGAAATTGGGGACATTGGTGGTGGGAAATGTACACTCCTTAAGGGGCAGATGTTTGGAACATTCTATAACTGAAACTCAATCATGAACAATTTTGTAACTGTGCCTCACTGTAATTCAATTTAAAAAAATTTAGTAAAAAAAATAAATAAATAAAACAGGCCCAAACAGTGACACAGTCAGAACTGAAAGCCAGACTGTCTAATTAGCTAGCTGCAAAGGTCAGAGCTTTTGGGCCACATCCAGGAGATGATGATCCAGCTACCAGGTACTAGCTGGAAGGGAGGGAGTGTAACTATGTTCACCTACTAACCACCAGCCTGGTTCACTGCCGAAAGCAAACCTTTTGTTTGGACACTGAGTGGCAGGTCTGTGTACTGTGCAGAATCTTACTCCACCCATCCCTAGGTTCTCCTTCCACGGGTCTGGTATAATGCACCTAGTCCTGGCAAGGGCTGGTTAAAAAACCATCAGGACAAAACTCTGACACTGAAATTGGAGCCTGAATGGGCACTTAGTGGAGGGATGGCTACTCGATCATTGTATAACTGAAACCCAAGAACAAAAATTTCTAAGTCTACAACTGTACCTCATGGTGTTTCACTAACAAAAATTAAAAAATAAAAAATTAAAAAAAGAAAAAGAAACTGGAACCTAGCCCCCGCAGGGACCACTCGATCCTGGGGAAGAGGCGCCACCTGCGGCACCCAGGAAGGCACCAAGGGGATCTAAGCCGAGACACGAGCTTCTGGCGCCCTCCCCCGCCTGTACCCTGCAGGAGCCGCCAGGGCCGCCTCCAATCCCATTAGCTCTCCCACAGTGCCCCCTGCTGGCCGCGTCCCATCTCGCCCTGCGCGGGAACCACTTCCGGGTGTTCCGGAAACGGAGCCTTCTCTTCCGGGTCAAGCCGCCCGGCAGCCGCACACGTGGGTGTAACCGAGCCGGGCCGCGGTGAAGTTGATTCCCACCCGTGAGAGCGCGGGGAGCCGGCGCCATGGAGGGCCAGAACGTTGAGGAGCTGCTGGCCCAGGCGGAGCGGGACGAAGCGGAGAAGCTGCAGCTCATTACGGTGCACAAAGAGCTGGAGTTAGAGTTCGATCTGGGCAACCTGCTGGCCTCGGACCGGAACCCCCCGACGGAGGTGCAGCGCGCGGGGCCCGCCCTGGAGCGCGAGCTGCGGGCCCTGGCTCGGGACAACACGCAGCTGCTCCTCAACCAGCTGTGGCAGCTGCCCACGGAGCGCGTGGACGAGGCGCTGGTGGCGCGCCTGCCCGAGCCCACCACGCGCCTGCCGCGGGAGAAGCCGCTGCCCCGGCCGCGGCCGCTCACGCGCTGGCAGCAGTTCGCGCGCCTCAAGGGCATCCAGCCCAAGAAGAAGACCAACCTGGTGTGGGACGAGGTGAGCGGCCAGTGGCGACGCCGCTGGGGTTACCAGCGCGCCCGCGACGACACCAAGGAGTGGCTGATCGAGGTGCCCGGCAACGCCGACCCGCTGGAGGACCAGTTCGCCAAGCGCGCGCAGGCCAAGAAGGAGCGGGTGGCCAAGAACGAGCTGAACCGGCTGCGCAACCTGGCCCGCGCGCACAAGGCGCAGCTGCCCAGCACCGCCGGCCTGCACCCCACCGGGCACCAGAGTAAGGAGGAGCTGGGCCGCGCCATGCAGGTGGCCAAGGTGTCCACCGCGTCCGTGGGGCGCTTCCAGGAGCGCCTGCCCAAGGAGAAGGCCCCCCGGGGCACCGGCAAGAAGAGGAAGTTCCAGCCCCTCTTCGGGGACTTCGCGGCCGAGAAGAAGAGCCAGTTGGAGCTGCTGCGAGTCATGAACAGCAAAAAGCCGCAGCTGGACGTGACAAGGGCCACCAACAAGCAGATGAGGGAGGAGGACCAGGAGGAGGCGGCCAAGAAGAGGAAGATGAGCCAGAAGGGCAAGAGAAAGGGGGGCAGGCAAGGGCCAGGGGGCAAGAGAAAAGGGGGTCCGCCCGGTCAGGGAGGTAAGAGAAAAGGGGGCTTGGGAGGCAAGATGCATCCCGGGCCTCCTGGGCCGAGTGGCAGGAGGAAGGGTGGACAGCACCAAGGAGGAAAGAGGAGGAAGTGAGTTTCCCTCCGGAAATGCCCACCGAGGACTCTTGCACTGTGAAAGTTCTGGGGGAGGGAGCACGGGTGATGCTAGAGAAAATAGACATCCTTGAGGTTGAAGGGACGGGATTGTCCTCTCTTCAGATGGTGTATTATTGAACGCTTAAGTTATTGGGGTTCCCCCCATAAAAAAAATTCCTTGGAGATTTATGTGTGTATTTGATGGACAGTCAGGGCAAGAATGTGTCTAAACTAGGAAAAGGACTTCATAGCAGTCGTGGGTTTTGTTTGTTTTTAAAACTTTGGGTATGGTTTGAGGAAAAGTTGGTCATATTTCTTGTAATGGTTTGAATTACAATGCATTATTTTTATAACAAACTTGTGTGTTTATCAAAGCAGGGAAAGGAAAGAGAACATTTTCAAAATATAGTTTTGAACATAACTGTTGTAAAGATTATTTAATAAAAGCCTGTCTAATGTTGCTTTAAACTCTGACTGTTGGTAGAAATCTTACCTGATTACAGGGCACGGATTATTTTTTTTTTAAAAAAAAAGCAGCCAGAAGAATGGTGTCAACAAGGCCACTTTTATTGTAAACACTCATTTGGTGTGTTATAATCTTGAACATGTTTAATAGTAGATACCTGAAAGAATATTACATGCTTTTCAACAGACATGAGTTGTTGTGATAAATTTGAACTTTGCCAAATAATGGCAATCCTTATTCATCCCAGAAAATATATAACTCAACATTTATGTCCCTGATTTTTTTAAGCTTCTTTTGGGGTGTTTGGAATGTGAGAAATCCACAAAACCCTTAATTGAAATATCTGTGATTGATTTGCCTTTTCTGAACTGGTTTGATTAAGCGGTGGTATTTTTACCCTAGACTTTTTTTCCTAATTTATCTCCGTCAGGATGTGTTCTGAATAGATTTTATAGTAAGACCCAGTCCAGCTGGTAGTGTGTTTGCTTTGCACACCGACCCAGGTTCAATCCCTGGCACAACCTAGGTTCCCTTACCAGGAGTGATCACTGAACATAAACTAGAATAATTCCTAAGCACTAAGCACTGCTGGGTGTGACCCAGATAGATACAAAAATCCAGAGACTTCTTTGGATGAGTTTCACTCTGCCATACCTTCTAACCTTGATAGGAAAGTTGGAAATTAATTTTGTTATTTTGTGAATCACTTGTTTAAAAGTTGCTATGAACTTATAATTGGTTACCAAAAAAAAAATATTCATTTGTTACTGCCTTAAAATACTTCCCAGTTTAAAGTTGAACATTTCTAAGGGTGGAGCAATAGTACAGGGCACTTGCCTTGCACACAGCTGACCCGGGTTCTGTGCCCAGCATCCCATATGGTCCCATGAGCACTGCCAGGAGTAATTCTTGAGTTCAGAGCCAGGAGTAATCCCTGTGCATTGCTGGGTGTGACCCAAAAAGCAAAAATAAAGTTGAATATTTCCATAATCAAATTTCCCTCTTGGAAATGTGTACCTGATTCTTCTAGGCCCTTCCAGATAGAGATACTTTAAACTATTGTTACAACTATTAAATGGTTTACTGAGGGGCTGGAGTGATAGGGCGTTTGCCTTGCACGCAGCAGCCCTAGGTTCGATCCCCGGCATCCCATATGGTCCCCCAAGCACCGCCAGAAGTAATTTCTGAGTGCAAAGCCAGGAGTAACCCCTGAGCATTGCTGGGTGTGACCCTAAATAAATAAATGGTTTACTGAAAACATCAAAAGCCAACCAACTCATTTGAAACTTTGATTCTCAACTGGTTATTTTGGTTTTTGTTGTATTGGGAGGAGGGGACTGTACTTTTTGTGTTTGTTGGGTTTGGTTTGGGGGGTTCACACTTCGCCATGCTCAGGGCTTAATCCTGAGTCTGCACTCAGGAGTCATTACTGGCTTGCAGGAGGATGAAGCCCCGTCGCCCATGTGTAAGGCAAACACCTTATCCCCTGTGCTGTCCCTCTGGCCCGGTTTTATGTTCTTGCTACAGCAGTTGGACACAGCCTGGACTTGGGATTTTTGCCAAGTTCTTGTTTATTACAAATCTTAACTTATTCCAATTTTTTTTTCAAAAAGCAAAATAGCGTTCTTTAAAAAAAAAAAAAAGCGCGAGGGGAGTGATTAAAGAATGAAGAGAGGATTTTAAACTACCCTAGGCCCAGTGAAGCAGTTCGCTTTCGTGGCAATCTCAAAGGTGGAGCTCCCTAGAGTTAGGCTAGAGTTAAGCTGGAGCGGGCGCCCGCGCGGAGGGCGGGGACGGGAGGCCGGGGCCCGGATTGGCCGGCAAGGGGGCGGGCCGCAGAGACCCGACAGACCATGGCCGCGGCTGCCCGTTCCCGGGTCGCCGACCTGCTGAAGCAACTGCAGCGGGCAGCGTGAGTGCGGGCCCGGGCGGGCGGGCGGGCGGAGGACCAGAGGCGCCACCGCGCGCACGTAGCATCCTTGGGCTGGGCCCATTCCAGCCTATTACTTGAAAGAACCCGCGGGGGGGGGGGGGGGGGCGGGGGGGCGGATCACCGCAAGTGCATGGCTAGTGCATGCCCTAAGACACCGGCCGCTGGCCAAGTGGGACAGACGCTGTGTGTGTGAGCGTGAACCTGCGGGAGGGGGTCACCGCAAGTGCATGGCGAGTGCATGCCCTAGGACACTGGCCGCTGGTCAAGTGGGACACGGTGTGTGTGTGTGTGCGTGTGTGTGTGTGTGTGTGTGTGTGTACCTGCGGAAAGGAGGGGTCACTGCAAGTGCCTGGCCAGTGCATGCCCTAGGACACCCGCCGCTGGCCAAGTGGGACAGACGCTGTGTGTGTGAGCGTGAACCTGAACCTGCAGGAGGTGGGGTCACCACAAGTGCATGGCCAGTGCATGCCCTAGGATACCCACGCTGTGTGAGTGCATCCGAGCACGCATTTGCGGCTTCAGTGCAGTGGAGGAAACTAAAGCCCGGGACTACAATGCCTGGTCCCACGGTTGGGACATACCATGGAGGGACTGGCACCGAGTCAAAGCACATTGAGACTCCTGGGTGTGTGTCCCAAGACGTAAACGGTACTAGTGCTAAGGATTCCAAGATCAGTGGGCCGGGAAGCAGTTTCCAGGCCAGTAGAATTTCGGGTGAGGGGACTGTGGTAAAAAGGAAGGCAAGGGATCGAGGGTGTGAAAGGAAAAGATGGGTATGAGAAATCCAAGAAGCTCCAACCCCAGCAGTGAGCAGCGGAGGCAGAAAATTAAATGTTACGGCCTATGCGTCTGGTCATGCGTAATAAATACTTGTGGAGCTCATGATCATGCGTGATATACTTGTGGAATGTGCAAGTGCACAAATCAGCTGGGAGATTTTTGAGCTTGGGTGGAAGACCCTCTAGGAGGAAAATAGGAAAGGAAGGAGACTTCAGGAGTAGAATTTCAGCCAAAGGGAAAAGCAGCATTAGAGGAAAAAATAAGTTTCCAGGGGCCTAACTTCATAGGAGGTGAGGGTAGCACTGTAGCACTCACTGTCTTCCGCTGTTCATCGACTTGCTTGAGTGGGCCCAGTAACATCTCTCTCCATCGTGAGACTTGTTACTGTGTTTGGCATTTTTTATACATCACGGGGAGCTTGCCAGGCTTTGCCATGTGGGCGAGATACTCAGTCGCTTTCTAGGCTCTTAGAGGGGTGGAGGAATCGAACCCGGGTCGGCCGGGCCGGCTGCGTGCAAGGCAAATGCCCTACCACTGTGCTATTGCTCCAATGGTGAGGGTAGAAAGGAGAAATTGTGAAAGACCATGAACATTAAAGAAACTAATTCTGGGCACTTAACATGTGCCAGGTACTACCCATCTAATACATACTGTTAATAGTAATCTTTACCACAACACTTCCACATAGTGTTTTATTATTCTCATATGATGGATAAATAAGATAAATAATCTGACACAGCAAGCAAGTGACACAGCCAGGATTCGAACTCAGATGCCCTTCTTTGCAATCACCGCTCTCGCTCCAATGCTTCCATGTCCTTTAGATTATAGAAAGTTATTAAAGCAATAGTTCTCATGGCAAAACACTAATGACAATCCAGACCAGAGAGATTGCTCCACAAGCTGAGTGCATGCTTGCTATGGAGGATGCCCTGGCTGGATTCCTGGCACCAGGCCAGTTCCTTGAGTACCATCAAGAGAGAGCACTGATTATACTGCTGGAGTAGTCCCTGAGCACTGCCAGATGTGACCCTAAAATCACCAACAACCAATAAGAATCCTGTAGCCAAACAAATTTGGGAAGATAGTCGTGTTCCATGGCCCCCTTGGAGAATCAGAATGCATGTTGGTACGTACATCCAGGATTCTATGAGGATCTGAAGGCAAAATAGAATCAATTTCAGCTGTATTGAAACTCTGCTTTAAATCATCATAGAAACTCTGTCAAGTAAAACCAATTCTATCCCTTGCAACCAGTGTCACACACAACATCTTAGCACTTTCCAGTGGCAGTAGAGAGAGAGGAAGGACTAGAGGTAACATTCTCCATCAGGAAGGTGAGAAATTCAGGCAACAAGGAGAGACAGCCAGTACAGGGGGCAAAAATGAAGAATAATGAAGAGTGGGTTAGAATCAGCTGTGTTTATTTAGTGGGACAGAAAGCTTACTGTTCCTGACTGGGATATCAGGGTGTCGGGCCATTTACCTAAGTATAGACTATAGACTGTGCCAAAGGATTAGCTTCAGCAGGAGATGGTAGAGCTTTTGTATCTGTACATGACTCAGGTACATCAACATGGAGAGCCTAGCAGGAAACTGAAAAAAAATCATTATTCTAGAACTCAGAAGAAAATTTAGACCTTATTCATGTGGGCTTCAGGACTGAGGGAACACTGCCCAGGGGAAATTGTGCCTAAACTGACCCAAGAAAAGATGATAATCACCCAAAAGAGGAGAGGGGAACTCATGTTCCTGGCAAAGAAAATAGCAATAATATTCCTGAAAGAGTGAGAGAGAGGGGGTAGGGGAGGGAGGGAGAGAGGGAGAAAGAAGGAGAGGAGAGAGAGTGTATGTGGCCCACTTAAGGAAAAGAACAAAATTAATTTTCTCAGAGATTAACCCTGGGCATAGAGTGAGCTGAGGAGTTAGGCAGGAAAGGGTCAGAATTCTGTTCAAAGTACTTCTAAACAAGAGAATGGTGTCCGTGAAACTAGACCACTGGGGAATAGAGGCGACAAAGGTGGAGCCAAGAGAAGCCTGTTAGAACCTGAGCAGTAATGTCCACAGGCAGTGAACTAGGTCAGAGTATGTGCCTAAAGAAAGCGTATAGATTTGGATAGAGAAATATTTGGGATCTTATTCATGTGGGCCTCGTGGACTCTAAGGGTAAGAATGGGACAGGATGGCTAGAGGCAGTCATCTAAGATATGGGGAGAGCAAGCATAAATGATGAGATTGGTCCTGGAGAGATAGGACAGCATGTAAGGTTCTTGCCTTGCACATGGTAGACCCATGTTCAATCCCCAGCACCCAGAACACCACCAGGAATGATCCCTAAGTGCAGACCCAGGAGTCAACTCCTAGTATAGCTGGATTTGGGCCAAAGTAAAGATGAAATCATGCAGGTCACTGTAACTTGGAAAGAACTAGGGACATGATGTCAAGTGAAGTAAGTCAAGGGGAGGAATACGAATGCCAGATGATGATGGAGAGAGAGAGAGAGAAAGAGAGAGAGAGAGAGAGAGAGAGAGAGAGAGAGAGAGAGAGAGAGAGAGAGAGAAAGTGACTGTTAAAGAGGCAGGCCAGGTGGGGGGCAGTAGGGAAAATGGGGACATTGGTGGTGGGAAAAGTACACTGATGAAAGGATGGGTGTTGAAACACTATATGACTGAAACCCAATCATGAACAACTTTGTAAAAAAAATAAAATAAAATTGGAAACAATCCAAATGTTCATGACAGAGAACTAGGTAAACATAGATTATTATAGGCATCTGAGATAATATTACATAGCAAATAATCAAAAATTATACTCAAAATGACAAATGTATCTTAATGATTTTGGAGACTGAAGCTAGACAGAATATATAGGCTATATAGGCTATGTAACTTCAGTGGTCACCAAGAGGATGGTATGAGGAAGTATGAGGAAGTTGGCCCGGTGCTGGGCCAACCCAGGTGGGAATAGGTTTTGTGCCTTGGCCTGTTCCCCCTGGCGGCCCAGTGGCCGCCATCCATCTGAGGCCACTGGATAGTCACATTTGGGACCCCAGTGACGAGACACACAGGGCCTCACGGGATGAGGGTAGAGCCGGGCTTGTCCTCCCCACCCCAACGAGACCCCAAGTCATCTCCCACAAATGGCCTCTCTGGCTCCTGATCAAGCTGCTTAATGGCCATGATCCCAGAGACTCAGAAACAAATCTCATATGAAAACTAAATTTTTATGAATACCAAATCGACCTGGGTTCAATTCCTTCGCCCCTCTTGAAGAGCCTGACAAGCTACCAAGAGTATCTCGCCCGAGAGTATCTCGCCCGAACAGCAAAGCCTGGCAAGCTCCCACATGATGTATTCAATATGCCAAAAACAGTAACAGCAAGTCTCAAAATTTCTTGTGAGATGTTACTGGTGCCCGCTCAAGCAAATCAATGAACAACAGGAGGACAGTGCTACAGTGCTACCAAATTGCTCATGATGACTGCTGCGATGATTTCTCAGGTTTATATATAACAAATCTTAGCAAAGTAAAAGGCTTACATTATGGGGGTATGGTGCCGCCAGCAGGTCCAATTGTACCTGTGAGGCGAGTGCATCAGCAGCCTCATGGCGCCTTCAGACTTCCAGATACCCCAAAATTGCTGCTGTGCCTTTGGTCAGACCCCAAAAACTTGGGGCAAAGTTTACGAAGAAAGTAAACAGCCAAAAGTTAGGTATGTGGGGAACACACCCACAAACCACCTCCGGCTCAGCTATATAATTGGAGGCAAGGCCTCTTTGGTTCCTGATTGAACTGCTTAATGGACATGATCCCAGAGACTCAGAAACGAATCTCAGAACCCAGTGGCTTTCGGTAGAAACGCGTCTGGTCTCTGCAGTAGGCTACCGGTGCTGGGCCAACCCAGGTGGGAATAGGTTTTGTGCCTTGGCCTGTTCCCCCTGGCGGCCCAGTGGCCGCCATCCATCTGAGGCCACTGGATAGTCACATTTGGGACCCCAGTGACGAGACACACAGGGCCTCACGGGATGAGGGTAGAGCCGGGCTTGTCCTCCCCACCCCAACGAGACCCCAAGTCATCTCCCACAAATGGCCTCTCTGGCTCCTGATCAAGCTGCTTAATGGCCATGATCCCAGAGACTCAGAAACAAATCTCAAAACCCAGTGGTGTTTGGCAGAAATGCATCCAGACTCCACAGTACATTACTGTTGCTGGGCCACCCCAGGGAGGAAAGGATGTTGTCCCTCCACCTGCTCCCTCTTTGCGACTTGGTGGCTGTCATCCTCCAGAGGCCATTGGACAGTCAGATTTGGGCCTGCAGTGACGAAACTTGTTGGGTCTCACGGGATGGAGGGGGGAGGTGGAGCCGGGCCTGTCCTCCCCACCCTAACGAGACCCCAAGTCATCGCCCACAAACGGCCTCTCTGGCTCCTCATCAAGCTGCTCAATGGCCTTGATCCCAGAGACTCAGAAACAAATCTCAAAACCCAGTGGCTTTTGTCAGAAATGTGTCCGGACCCCGCAGTAGGTTACTGTCGCCGGGCCACCCCAGGGGGGAATGGGTGCTGTCCCCCCCGCCTGCTCCCTCTTGGCGACTTGGTGGCTGTCATCCTCCAGAGGCCATTGGACAGTCAGGCTTGGACCCGCAGTGACGAAACTTGTTGGGTATCACAGGATGGGGGGGGAGGTGGAGCCGGGCCTGTCTTCCCCACCCCAATGAGACCCCAAGTCATCGCCCACGAATGGCCTCTTTGGCTCCTCATCAAGCTGCTCAACGGCCATGATCCCAGAGACTCAGGAGCAGATCTCTAAACCCAGTGGCTTTTGGCAGAAATCCCTCCAGATTTAAGTGTTAAAATTTCAGAATTTCAAAACCACATGGCCCTACTGCAGCCACACGACATCATGTTATTCATAACCAGCAATAGAACACAAATTGTCTATTGTTGCCTTTTCAGCAGATCTGAGTGTTGGGGTAAAATCTCAAATAATGGTGGGTCTGGTGTCGAAATAGTGAATGTGATCAAAGTAGAGAGAGAGTAATGTAGAAATCATCTGCCCCACAGGCAGGGGGAGGGTGTGGGATGGGGTATGCTGGGGTTTTTGGTGATGGAGAATGGGCACTGATGAAGGTATGGGTGTTTCATTGTATGATGAGACTTAGACCCAAAAGCTTTGTAACTGCTCTCACGGTGATTCAATAAATAAAATTATAAAAAATGGAAAAAGAAAAAAAAAGTAAGGTGGAGTTCATGCACAATTCAATCAGCTAATCAGTGGCTGAATAAATAGCAGTACTCCTACAAAAAAAGAGAAAAAAAAAGGCTTACATTAGTGTACTTCACTGTTAAATGTATATTTTTATTAAGAGTTGTTAAAATTGTGCATGTCTTTTCAAACAAAATATCAATCATACTTTTCAATACTACAATTAAAAGTAGAATACGGAAAGGCTTTTTGCTTTGGAATTGATACAAGTCAGACTTTTTCATTATCTAGAATACTTTAAAACCATAAAGGATCTCTATAAAACTGGAAGTGAAACAATTACAAGCTCAATAACCAAAAGCTTTAATTCATAAATAAAACTCATTTTGTACATTGGAAAAAAAATGCCAGATGATCTCACTCAGCTATGGTACACAGAGAGACAAGTCAGGAGCACTGAAGGCGCCAAATGATATGCTTACATGATTCTAGAACCTAGAACTGAGAGTGCCCAGCAAAAGAAGGAGAGTGTTGGAAAGGGTGGTGGTTGGGCTAGGAGACTGATGAGGTGAAAGAGGTCATTCGTTAAGGTCATTCATAGTCAAGGATCTTGGCCACTTCAGTGATGGAGAGGTGAAGGAACTGTGTACATCAAAAACCATAAGCAATAACACTCTTATTAACATGTGACACAAACTCTAGCCATCAAACTCTTCTTTTAGAGTCTGCCTAGTGGGTCTGGGGGAAGAGGGAGAGGACCTTGGGACATCAGTAGAGGGACACTGACCACTGACCACATTGGTGGTATGGAGTTGGCACTTGGTGTACAATAACACTGCGTAGAGCCCAAAACTCTCTTAGCAATGGTATTGTCAGTCATGGTGCCTGCATAACAATGGAAAGAATAAGAACTGGGGGCTGGAGCAATAGCACAGTGGGTAGGGCGTTTACCTTGCATGCAGCAGACCTGTGTTCAATTCCCAGCATCCCATATGGTCCCCCAAGCATCGCCAGGAGTAATTCCTGAGTGCAGAGCCAGGAGTAACCCCTGTGCATCGCCCGGTGTGACCCAAAACAGCAAAAAACAAAAAAGAAAGAATAAGAACAGGCACAGTGGAAAAGAAGCTGAAGAAAGAACAATGAGAGAAATCCTGGTGAGTTGAGAGTCTTGGGGCCAGCAGTGTTTTGCCCACCTGAGAAAGGGGTATTCCGCAGAGCACAGCCCTGGGAGAAAAGTCAGGAGGCCGCCCAAGTGCTAGGACTTGTGGAGGAAGAGACCGGATTTGAACAACCAAGGAATGTATAGGGGTGAAGGGGAGAGAGCCGAAGCATACAGGCTGGGGTGGGCAGAACTAGTGTGTAAGCAAGTTGAAGAGACAAGAGGTAAAGAGTCTTAAGGTTTCAAACTCTTCGATATGACAAGGATTGCGTGAGAAAGAAGACCAAGAGATGAGGGACAGACGCAAGTCCCCCAGCAGGCAAAAGAGGTGTGCGTCAAAGCCCAAATACGAAATAGAGATGATGAATTAAGGTAGCTCTGAACTTGAAATTTATGTAATGGGCCAGAGAGATCATACAGGGGTAGGTCTTGCACACAGACAACATGGAGCCGTATACGGTTCCCCGAGAATCTCCAGGGGTGATCCCTGAGCACTGAGCCAGGAATAAGTTGTGAGCACACCAGATGGCTCTCAATCCCCAACCCCCACCCCCAAATAAAGAAAAATACAAAACAGAAAGAGAAGGGACATATCTTAGGAAACATGTACTTCCCACATTCCCATAGACCTCTGTGTAGAAAAGCTGTAAGTTCAGATCTTCCTCCAGTTACATCTCTTCTTGACCTTGAAGGAAATGTAGCAGGGACCGTTTTGAAAAGCGAGGCCTACCCTTGGGGCACCTCACCCTGGCCTTTTCATTCCCCGTGAAGAGCCTTTAGCGGGAATGGCCTAGGAAAATAAAGTACATGCTATTCTCAGCTATGGCCAGGAGATGGCAGTCTTGATTCATGGAAGTCCCCCATCACTCATTTCCCAGGTGTCAAAATTCCGCCTCCAAAATTTTCAGAAATTTTGTGACCTTGAAAATCATAACCTTTTTTTCCCCTTCCCTTAAATGTCTTAATTCAATATGTGAAAGGGATAGAGGAGAAATAGCATAAAGATCAGAGCTTTAATATAACTTTTGGAAACCTTTTACAGTAAATAAAGCAAATAAATAGAAATAAATGAGCAATAAAGAGAAACAGGAAGTCTTCCCCCCCCCCCCATGTTCAATATGAAGAATAAAAAGACTTCAGAGAAGGAACTATCCTAAAAAAAAAAAGCTTTTATATAAGGGAAGAAATCTAGAAGTCAAAAGAGAGAAAGCAGGAAGAAATGTGGGGCTTTTTCAGGACCGAGACCTGAAAAGAGACATTTGGATGAGAAAAATGTGACAATTGTACTGAAATTAAAGGTCTTTGAGGCCTGAGTGCCACTTGGCTTCTTGCTGAAACTTGGCAAAGAAAAGTGGTGACCAGAGAGGCCAGGAAGACTTCCTGGAGGAAATGGCCTAGAACCTGTCTGAGGAAAAATTAAACATCTCAAAAATGGAGAAATGCAAAGTTCCTTGAATGGAATTGCTAATGACCCCGCATCCTGTTTTATTGTATTGGATTTATTTTTGGCACAGTGATTCACAATAACGTGAATGAGAGTTTCATGCATACAATGTTCCAACACCACACCCTTCATTAGCATTCCCTTCTGTTTCCCCCCACCCACCCATTAGATCTCCACAATTTCTGCTCAGCTCCCAGAAGGATTTAGTAGATTCTGTTTCTGTTTGAATGATCTGTGTAAAAATGATCCATAGCTGTAACGAACTTTCAGGCTATGAGTTCTGATATTTTTTCAATTCTACCGTTTTCAGTCGCTCCTACTCCGAAGGCAGCTACTAAAATGCCATGTGTGTGCTTCTCAGGCTCCTTTTCCTGTTCAGGTTTCATTTTATTATTGTTCTGTTTTTTCTTTTCCGTAGATGCCAGTGCCCAACACATTCTCATACTTACTCCCAAGGTAAAAACATGTTCTCTGTGTTTAAACTAGCCACAATTTCTGTTTCCACGGTTGATGTTTCTGATACATTTGAGCAAAAAGTGAAAACCAGTAAATCAAGGCATGGAGAGAAGGGCTGATAAAAATGGTTATCTTTTCACTTGAAATTGGTCACTTATGGGTCTATTTATATGGTGTTAACCAAATGTATGCTATGAATTATGTGTTTGTATTTTATGTATGTTATGGGCTGGAGCGATAGCACAGCGGTAGGGCGTTTGCCTTGCGCACAGCTGGCCAGCCAAGCCAGGTTTGATTCAGGCAAGCTACCAAGAGTATCTCGCCCACGTGGCAAAGCCTGGCAAGCTCCCCTGTGACGTATTCAATATGCCAAACACAGTATCAACAAGTCTCACAATGGAAACCTTACTGGACCCGCACAAGCAAATCGATGAACAACGGGAGGACTGTGATTGTGACCGTGATGCGGTTTAAATGACTTTCTCTTGTTTAAATAGAATTATTCACCAAAATTGAAAAGCGTGGCATGATTAGGATTTTAGAATAGTGTAAATTCATCAAAGAGAATTAATCAAGATGAAATCTTTGGAAGATTCTGATCCTTCTTAAAAAAAAAAAAAAAAGACTAACCGATAAAGTGATATCTAAAGAGGGACAAAAACTTGTTTGTATTAATCTTTAAAATCATTTTTTTCTTAATAGTTAAAAAAAAAGCTCAAGATTTTGGTTTTCACAAATGTCCTTTTCCTCACTGATCCTCTTGTCTCCAGAGCTGCAGGAAGTGCCTGGTCACCCACACTGTCACTTGAATTACTGACACACAAACTGATCTCACCATTTGGAGGAAAAGGTCAAATCTAAACAATACAAGAAGGGGTGGAAAGCATGAGGCTGCCATTACAGGCTCCAAAGCAGAAACCCATTAAAAAAAAACTAGAATAAACCTAAAAGCACATCTGATGGGGAGTAGAATAGAGTCAGCCAGCGAGGGGCCCTTGGACTGGGGGCAGACTCCCCATAGGCCAGGCCAGCCCTCCTGCGCAGGCGCCGCTCCACCCAGCAAAAGCTGGCCAGGGTTTTCGATGCTCGTGAGCAGAATTCAGCCTTCAATGAGCAGAATTCTGCCTTCAAATATTTTTCTCTAATTTTGAGTTGATTTCAACAAAGAGCCTATTTTCCCATGGGGGCAAGGTGATAAAATAAGTAGAGAAAGATAATAATTTCACCGTTTTCTGTGTCTCCTCCTAAACTTTAGTAATAGATTATTTCTTTACAGCCCGTAGGAATTAAAGAATTTTTGCTGGGAACACCTTGGTCCTCAAACCCCACCATGCTTGCTTGTGGGGATGCCCAGGGATGGCTGACTGGCAGGACGGTACAAATCTGGGACCCAACAGTGCTGCACTGCTCAACTCCAGGGTGCTGGGGTCACCGGGGCAGGGCTTAGGGGTGGGAAATTAAACTGGGATCCTGCATGTACAAGAGTCCCAGGACCCAGATATGGGCCCCTGACACCATAAACCTCTATTGAATCTCTATTAAAAAAATACTAAATACTATAAAAAAAAAAACCACTGTCCTCCCATTGTTTATTAATTTGCTCCAGAGGCCCAGTAATTCTCCATTTTGAGACTTGTTGTTACTGTGTTTGGCATATTGAATATACAGGAGGAATCGAACCCGGTTTGGCTGGGCTGGCTGCATGCAAGGCAAATGCTCTACCACTGTGCTAAGCTTGAGAAATAGGTTATATTATGATAACCTCTGTGTGTGTGTGACTGAGGCGGCTGGGAGGGCATATTAATTCAAATAAGTGATCACAGGAAGTGTAAGCACAAATCTAGTTAATGAACTCAAGTCATTCTCCATAAACTGACCCTCGACCATCAAGGTTTTTAAAAAATTTTTGCAGATTATGTTTTCAAGAGAGTATTCTTGTTTCAATGAGGAAATAATTTAAAAAACTATTTTTCAAAAACAGAATCAAGTTAACATTAAAGGCTCTTAAAATGAAAGTTTAATTTTAATTTGACATAAGAAAAAACTGAAACCTAAAATGTTTTAAGTAAGTCTTCAAGAGAAATGCCTATATTCACTGCTTAGTTACCAATTTATTATCAAATGACACTATTTTTGCTTGTATTTGAGGCCTACTCTGATGCCAATTTTTGCATTTCTAGCTCCTGGACTTTCAGCTTCTGGAAAAACAACAGATTATGCTTTTGAGGTAGATTTAATTCATCCTTTCTTTTGTGAAAGATCTTTAAAAAATGTAACTGAACAATTTTGCTAACTTTGCATTGTTTCATTTGAAATATATTATTAATTAATGTTCCTGTTCAACAAAGTATCTTGTTAGAATAATGAAAAACAAATCTTCTATTAATATAAATAATATCTTGAATGCTGTCTTCTGTACAGCCTAAAATAGAACTAATTTCCAGTTTGCAAACTCTTCAATTTGTATTGTTTCATGTTGACAATTTTTTACTTTTGTAACTATATAAGTTTCAAAAGAGATTCAGGTCATGTTTTGAAGCAAGAATAAAAGTGTGATTATTTCTGATGATTTTCATCATGCTGTAATTACAAAGTTTTTTGCTTAATGCCCTATCTTTCCTCCTGTCATAAATTAAAATGTCACCATGTGCCAGACAATGAACTACTTCTTGACCCTCTGAAGGGACCAACCTCTCCTCAGTCTCTGTTTGCTGCCATAAGGAAAGGCAAGCCTGGGGTTACCTGATCATTCAGGAGAGATCTGAATTTTTATGTTTTACTTTTCATATCCTGGTTTTTACTTATTAAAGAATTCAAAAAAAATTTAACATGTTGCTCAAGCAAAACTTGTCTTCAGGCCCAAAGTGAACACAGCATTCATAAATATATAAGCTCGTCTCTCAGTTGCCAACTTTAGGAAGACATGTTTCAAGCTGAGAGAACAGATGAGAGTTTATGAGTGTTTGGGAGAAGATAAGTAACTGAATTTCAGTTTGTTTAAAGAAACATGATGATGTGACTACAGTGTGTGTGGTTCAGTGGTAAGGCACATATCTCATATGTGTGAGACCCTGAATTAGAGCCACAGCACCAGAGAAAACAGATATATATTTTTTAAAGCTATATAAGTCTGAGGATGAGAAGAGAATGAGATGAGATCTTCCAGATGAGAATGGCCTGGAAGATCAAGCTAAGAAATATATATTTTATTTTCTGGACAATGAGGAACCATTTCAACTTTTAGAAACAGGATGATCAACCCTCTAATGCATGCTTCATCTGAATCAGATTTTGTTTTGTTTTGGTTTTTGTGTTTTTCTTTAGATGGCTGTTTCAAATATTAGATATGGAGCCGGAGTTACAAAGGAAGTGGGCATGGCAAGTATCTGAGATTTCTATAGTCTATAAACACTGCATAGCTTTAAAAACAAGTGCAAAATGACAGTAACTGAGTCATATGTATTTATTCTTGTCTTGTTTTTGTTTTGTAAAATGTACAGTTTTGAATTGAAACACACGTTGCTTGGCAGAAGACTATCACATTTCAAGTGCAGTCAAATCTAACAAATTATTTCTGTTACTGTAGGACCTGCAAAACATGGGGGCTAAAAATGTTTGTTTGATGACAGACAAGAACCTCTCCCAGCTTCCTCCTGTACAAACCGTCATGGATTCTCTTGTAAAGAATGGCATCAACTTTAAGGTTTACGACAGTGTAAGAGTGGAGCCGACTGATAGCAGGTACTCCGGGATTGTGCTATTATTTTCAGGGAGGACAACACTATCACTATATCAAAATTTATTTACAACAAGTTTGACCTAATGGTTCTGTTTTCCCTTCTCCTAGCTTCATGGAAGCTATTGAGTTTGCCAAAAAGGGAGCATTTGATGCCTACGTTGCTGTGGGTGGCGGTTCCACCATGGACACCTGCAAAGCTGCTAATCTCTATGCGTCCAGCCCCCAATCTGATTTCCTGGATTATGTCAATGCACCCATTGGGAAGGGACAGCCAGTTAGTGTGCCTCTTAAGCCTCTGATCGCAGGTAAAGACTTTTGGCTTCCTTTCACAGTTCTCAAAAGTCTCAGGAAAGATGTAAACTCATAACGTAAGGATCTATGATTCCAAAGCTGCATGGTTGCTTCATTTTGGTGTATTACCTTGTTTGAAGAACAAGATAGGGGCTGGAGCAATAGCTCAGCGGGTAGGGCGTTTGCCTTGCACGCGGCCAACCCGGGTTTAATTCCCAGCATCCCATATGGTCCCCTGAGCACCGCCAGGGGTAATTCCTGAGTGCAGAGCCAGGAGTAACCCCTGTGCATCGCCAGGTGTGACGCAAAAAGCCAAAAAAAAAAAAAAAAAAGAACAAGATAGCAATTTATTTGTCCTTAAAATTCTGGGGCTCATTTTTTAGGTAGAGTCAAGTGAGATCACTGTGCAGAAAATTTGCAGATTTAAGCCATGAATGAAATCACTATATGGAGGAGGGCAAGGTCATCGTTTACATATTATTGCATCTCTCTATAATGGGAGGTTTGTCTTCAACCCTCTCTACTTTGTTCAACTTTGCCAACCATTGTGGAGTTTAAGGGGAACATTTGCTGTTATTTATGTGGTATTGATTAGACCCTTTCTTCTGCATAAGGCTCTTCAGCTGACCTGGGGCTTTGTCTCTGCCCGGGGACACATGGTCAGTCTGGCCCTGTGACATATGCTCTGTGGCTGCTGGGGGCACAGGCACACTAATCCAAATAACAATAACTCGTTCCACTCAGACCTTGGGATCTTCCCCTTTTTTCTTCCCTCCCATTTTCCAGCTGTTAGTATATTCTATTAAAATTTTCGTGGCCTAAATCTACTCACTGGGAAGCGGAAAATATCAATTCAGGGTTTCACCCTCTCTTGTTGCCCCCCTCCCCTGCCCCCTCCCCTGCCCCCTTTTGCTAACGGCTGCCTGCCCTGGGGAGAGGAGTGAGCTGAAGGCAGATGAACTATTTTTGACATGAATGAACAATCAGCAGGGAATGGCCTAATTGATGTCTGGCAAATGGAACCCTCTGGTGAAACTGTGTCAGCATCACACAGAGGGGTGATTAGTAAAGTTTAGAAACTTGACAGAATAACAAAACTCCCAAGCCCAGCAAGGCAGAAGTTGCAGTCTTGCAGACAAGCAGGAAATAAAGATGTCTTTTAGAGATGGCAAATTTATGCGTGAATACCCAGCTTCAGCTATTTCCACTCTGGTGCTAGAAAAATGTGAGGGCCCAGAGTTGTTAGTACAGAAATAAACATCACACATATGCATCATAGATGCATATTGGGCTATGTGTTAGAACAGATACCAAGCATCATTTATACATGTTAACAGATACCCATTTCACACAGATCAAGTTCAGGTTAGATATCCATGCATGGTAACACACAAACACCATACATGTTAAACATAAAGGCATATTAAGATAGACACAATATGCATATTGAACATACATCATACATATATATGAGCATGCATTTTTTTTAACTCTGTCTTCCCATTGTTCATCAGTTTGCTCGAGCGGGCCCAGTAACGTCTCCATTTTGAGACTTGTTGTTGTGCATGCATGTAAATACCTGTATAAACATCAGGTGCAGCAAATCTTCCTTGCCTAACTCTGCTTCCTCATTCTAAATACTGATTTATGTTTCTCCACTGGTCATTATTTAGGTGCCTTATTAAAAATTTATATTATTTTTTTCAAGTCCCTACTACCTCAGGAACTGGAAGTGAAACTACCGGAGTGGCCATTTTTGATTATGAACACTTGAAAGTGAAAACTGGTGAGAATTTTTTCTATAAATTTATTTTCTTTTATCTTTCAACTCTATTGCCTTTCCTTCAATACTAGTACTTAAAAATAAGGGTTTTTAAAGTTAAGAAAAGGATATGTACATATAAATATTTTATTTTACCAAATATCTATTAAAAATATGAGCAATTTAATAATTTTTTTCCCTGACAATTACCTTCAAAACATGTTGAAATGCCCTGAGCCTTGAGTGGTCATTTTCTACTGAATTTAGAAACTGTATTTATCAGTAATAGATGGTGTTTTTCTTTTTCAAACCTCTTTTTTATATTTTAAATAAATTTAAATAATGAGATAAAATGTTACGCAATAAAAAATACATTTTAAGAATCTCATTTAGGGTGCTAAGGGATGTGGCTCAGTGGTAAAGTGTATGCCTCGCGTGTGTAAGGTGCTGGTTTTGATTTCCAACAGGGAAGGGAATAAGAGGGAAGGGGAGAGAGTACTGGGGGGTGGGGGGGAGGAGAGGGCAAGGGAAAGAAGGAAGGTCTAATTTAGAGGCCACGGATTGTAGCTCAGCTGTGGAGCACTTACTTTGCATGCATAAGGATGTGGGTTTTATCCCCCATGTCATGAGTGCCATGCACATGCAAACTTCATTTGATGGGTCTATGCTTATGCCAGTGATATACACCTATGTAACTACCAAACCAGTCAGGATACAGAACACTCCTATTGTTCCAAGAAGTTTCCCCATGTTCCTTTCCAGACTGCTCTGCATAACCACCTCTTCCCAAGAAAACACTATTCTTCTTCCAGGCTTTCTTTTCTTCCCCATCTTATCTTCTTTGACCCTCATCTTTTGTGCTATGTGCTAACAATGTCCCTCTTTAAATTTGGCTCAGTTCTTCTAGGAGCATGTAAAATAACTAGACATTCAATTCTCATCACATTTAAGATTCTTATTTTATTTTATTTTAAGATTTTAATTTTTTTTTTGGCTTTTGGAGTCACACCCAGCAATGTTCGGGGGTTACTCCTGACTCTGTACTCAGAAATTACTCCTGGCAGTGCTCAGGGGACCATATGGGATACCTAGAACTGAACCCGGGGTGGCTGCATCTGAGACAAATGTTTTACTGTTCTGCTGTCACTCTGGCCCCAAGATTTATCTTTTATAAATTAAATCACATCACCCTTTGACATTATTCAAGATAAAAATAGTAGTATCAAACAAATTCTGCTTTACAGTATTGTTCTTTGCGGGGAGTGGTATGTAGTTTCCATGCAGGCTGTGCATAGGGCTTGCTACTGGACCTGTGCTCAGGGATCACTCCTGGAGGTGCTCAGGGGAACCTTAGTGGTGCCAGAGATCAAACCCAGGTTGGCTGCATGCAAGGCAAGTGCCTTACTCACTGTACTCTCTCTCTCTCTCTCTCTCTCTCTCTCTCTCTCTCTCTCTCTCTCTCTCTCTCCCCCACCCCCTTCGGTGAAGCTGGAGGCCCTGTATTAAACCACAGTAAAGTAAAGTAAAGTAAAGTAAAGGCCCTCCCGTTGATCATCAATTTGCTCGAGCGGGCCCAGTAACGTCTCCATTGGAGACTTTGTTGTTACTGTGTTTGGCATATCGAATACGTCACGGGGAGCTTGCCAGGCTCTGCCGTGCGGGCGAGATACTCTCGGTAGCTTGCCGGGCTCTCCGAGAGGGGTGGAGGAATCGAACTCGGGTCGGCCATGTTGGCTGCGTGCAAAGCAAACGCCCTACCGCTGTGCTATCGCTCCGCAGAGTCCTTGTAAATTGTCCAGTGCCACATAGTAAGTTTCATAGCTAGAATTCAAAACCAGTAGTCTGCTAATAAATCAGCTCTCTGGAATAAATAAGCCCTGACATGTAGCATTTACCAATTTCTGGAGTGTAAATACTCCCATCATCACCAGTGTCTGGAGTTGTAAAAAAATATGTACACTTGGCCTTTGTAAACAGAAGGGACTTCAGCTCCATCCAACAAACAGGTTTCTCACTCCAAATCTCCTTCTCCACCTTCCTTAGTTGCGAATAAATCTTATCTCCCACTTTTCTATTTTGTTTGTTGTAGTAGTGTGGAAGTGGGGGCACACAAAGTGAAACTCAGGGAACTCTGGGGCACTTGGATTAAACCCAGAGCCTCACACATGCAACGTATGTACTCTGCCGCTCGAACCACATCTCCGTTCCTCAACTTGGAGAAGGTCTCTCCAGCAATGACTGGGGACCGAGGGCAACTCCCAACAATATTCAGTGCTAGGACCCAGGATGCTGGTGGCCCCTGGGACTATTCCCAGCAGTGCAGGTGGGGAGAGGTTTGTGATGACTGGGTCAACTCAAGGCCTCACAATTGCCAGGGGTGCACTCTAGCCTGAACTCTCTCCTTGCCTCCCTCCCTTTTTGGGGGGATACTAATTTATTATTCTAAGGTTGTATTTATTTCTGTAAGTGGTGTCCAAACCTATAGTTTCTGTTGAAATTACCTGACTTAGGCATTGCTTCCCGAGCCATCAAACCCACGCTGGGACTGATTGATCCTTTGCACACCCAGCACATGCCTGACCGGGTGGTCGCCTATAGCGGCTTCGATGTGCTCTGGTAAGTACCTGGACCACGTGAAGAGGCGTCTTCAGTACTGCATTTGTTGGGTGGTATTTTACTGCCAGAAGTGTGTGTGAAGCACTCAGAGCTTGCTTGATGAGGGCCCGGGTGAGATACACCCCTGCAGTTCAGAACACACCGTCCCAGCCACCTCCAGCCACAGGGACAGGGCAAAGACAGGACTAGAGCTGGTATGCCATGGTTCCAACCCACATGTCTGCTCCTGTGACCCAGGGCTGCCACTGCACGGGAGAGAGAAGAGCAGAGAAGAGAAGAGAGTGAGGACTCCTAGGGCAGCATTTAACTGCATCCCTGAGACACCACCCATCTCAGGATGGGAAAAAACTTTGCCCAGGGTCTCTTGGCTTGACTGTGATGTGCTGATGACTCCCTGCCCCCTTCACCACAGGCCAGCTCCTGAACCCCAAGTCATTTACGCCAGTACCCCCCACTCCCCAGGTTCCAGTCCTTGAGTGAGTAAGTCCCACATCAAGGCAAACACCCTACCTGCAGTACTATCTCTTCAGCCTCCAGGAGGAGGAAGTTCTAAAGTCTGATTCTTGAAATAGTCGACCCTGAGTTTAGGACATGTGAGAAAAAGGATAATCATATTTTTTAGGACAAGAATGAGTAGTAATGGTGAATGATAAAACTTTTCAGTGTGCCAAGCACTAATCTAAGGAATCTACAAGTGTTAATTTAATTTTCTTGGTCATGCCATGAAAACATACTATTATTTATTACCCTTTTTGAGTCAGAGGTAGGGAAATAGCGCACACACTCACACACACACACACACACACACAATATTCTTAGTAGATTTAGTGTGATTTTGACTCTCCTTGGATGATATGGTGTTTCATTAATGGCAGGTGTAAAATGGTGAACATAGTATAAGGAGGTAATTTATTTTTACATTCAGTACATTTTCATCGTGATTGTGTTTATTTCTGTTCTTGGGAGGCACACTCAGCTGTGCTCAGGGGCTACTGTCATTTTGGCTTTCGGATCACTCCTGGCAGTGCATGGAGGGCATGTGGTCCTGGGGTTCAAACCCAGCCCTCTGCATGAAAACCTGTGCTCAGTCCTCAGCTGTTACCCAACCTCATGACTCAAATGTCTAAAAATTCAATATCACCAAGATTTATTCTCACTGGAAAAAAATTCTTATGTGTTCATATAGACTAGGCAATAATACATACCATAGTTCTGGGCCAGAGAAAGAGAGTTCAGGGGTGAAAGCACTTGCCTTGTACGTGGCCTTCCCTGGTTTGATTCTTGGCATCACATGTAGTCCCTTGGGTACTATCAGGAGTGATCCCAGAGCACAGATCCAAGAAGAATGCCACAATGCTGTTAGTATAATCCTGTGTTCATTTCTGTAGAGTGTGATGACTATCTTGGGCAAGAGGCTAAGTTGTGGAAAGAGTAAGTTTATCAGAGCTATAGAGTATATTCACCCATGGGGTGAGTACAAATGTTTCCAAGGCAGTTTGTAACCTGAATTGAAGGGAAGAGTGACAATACTTTCAATCCGTGTGTTTTGACTTTTCTCTTGTTAGCCACGCCCTGGAATCCTACACGGCTCTTCCCTACCACATGCGGAGCCCCTGTCCTTCGAATCCCATCACTCGCCCAGCCTACCAGGGCAGCAATCCAATCAGCGACATTTGGGCAGTACATGCCCTGCGGATTGTTGCAAAGTATCTGAAAAGGTATGTCATCCAGAGAGGAGAGAAACAAAACAGAAACATCACATACAATGTGGCTCAGGATTCTGAATTATCCTGAGCAAGTCAGTGGACATAGAGAAGCACTAGAACCCAGCAATCTCTGGAGGTATAAGAGGTATAAGAGATGAAGAATTCATGGGAGGACTCATGAAAGTTGGATCGTTCTGCCTGAAAAGGTAAAGACTGAAGGGAGCTGGAGTGATAGTACAGTGGGGAAAGTGCTTGTCCTGCACATGTCTGACCCAGTCCAATCCTCTGCACCCTCTATATGATCCCCTGAGCCTCCCAGGAGTAATACTTGAGGCACAAAACCAGGAATAAGCCCTGCGCATTGCTGGGTGTAACCCCCAAACAATAATGAACAAGACTGCAAGGGGAAAAGATAGAGAATGATGGGTGCAAATACTAGGGTTTTTCATCAAAGCCTCAGAACCAAAGCTAGGTAATGTCCTTAGAGATTTAGCCATGAAGGACAGAAATGAGAGTCATTGAGAGGTTGACTGTACCCATCCAACCCAAAGACCCACAGAGTCATTCCAGTGGGCAATTATCACAAAGAGCTAGATCTGATACATTTTTCTTCTCTCCCCGGAGATATAAAAGGCATCCTAAAAAGTTTTGATAGATAGATTCTGAATGACATAGCCATAATAAGCTCCGAAGAGAGCAAAGAGATGCTGAGATGAGCTGATTGCTGATACATTAAGGCAGTGGAAGGTCTGACTCATTTCTGTCTTTACATGTAGGGGAGGAGAGCACTAGGAGGTGGAGCCTCCTGTGAGCACTATGCCTTCCCGGCCTTCCTTGGCTTGGAAACTGCATGGAGAGGTGGACTTGGCTTGCAGTTTTCAGAAAGCAGGGAAATCACAGAACTTTGTCAGGCTCATGGAGACCCCATACAGCTTTTGCCTAGGTAGAAGCAAATGCAGATAATGGCCTGCCAGTTTGCACAACGGGGATGGTAGACTTGCAAAGTAGCAGATGAGGGGTAAAATGGACAGAGGAAAGACGGGCATCTCCTCATTTGCAGTTTTACCTTATTATTTGGGGGAAAGGAAACAAATTGAGTTTTAGAAAGGATAACCAGGAGCCCAACAATTCCAAATGAAAGGGGTAGGGTGTGGGGGAAACGTTTCTCGTACTAAAAACCAAAAATTCATGTTTCGTAACAGGAAACTTTACTCCAGGCAAATTTGCAGAAAGGCCAGGGAGAAGTGATTTTCTTGGCAATGTGAGACAGGCACCCTCCTGGGGCTGGAGTTTCTAAGCAGCGAGTGCAGGCAGACTGAGTTTCATTTAAAAGGGATCTTTGAGGATTTACTTTTCCAACGTGGCACTGGGGATCGCTAGAGCAAGCAAAGGTCTTGCTCTACAGCAGCATCCCACTTCCACATTAATAAGCAGGAAGCTACCATGTGCCGTTTCCCCAGTCCTGAAACAGGCCTCCTGTAAGATTGATGTGAGACAAAGAAACAGGCTGTGAGGCTGCCTTGGGCCTGCAGGTAGCTCTGGGTCTCAGAGGATGACTTCAGTGAAGCCGTCTGGGTCCTGGACATTGAAAGTCTATGTTTATTCTAGGTCCATTCATATTTGCTGTTAAGGTCAAAGAAAGAAGAGGAATGAGTCTCGGGTGCTTTTCCACACTGGGACTCACAAGCCAAGGGACGAACTTTGACTCCCCAGGCACTTTTATTCCATAGGCAACATGACAACATATTTATTTTGCCATGGTTCAGACCACTGATAAGAAAATATTTCCCTTCAATTTCCTTTTAGATGACCAGATGTCATTTAAATAATTTTTCCAATTTTTCTTCTACCAAGTTGTATTTAAAAAAAAAAAAAAACAGATCTTTCCCCCAAGGCAGCTTTATTTTATTCAGTAGGAAATGCCAATGTCACTGTGTTATTGTTAAGTATTTATGTCATCTGCAGGGCTGTCAGAAATCCTGATGATCTTGAAGCAAGATCTAATATGCATTTGGCAAGTGCTTTTGCTGGCATTGGCTTTGGAAATGCTGGTGTTCATCTGTGGTGAGCAAATTTGAGATTCATTTCTTCACCTAAATTCTTGCATTAGATGTTTTTCTTATTTTCCTTGTCTAGGGCAGGTGATAAAATGAGAATAGCTATGAATAAAAGAAATCTAACCTAAAGCCCTAAAATGCTTTCATTCAGATGGGAAAAAAAAGTGTTTTAGGAATTTAATTTTATCGGAATTTAGTTTGTATTGTTTTATTTTGTTTGCCTTCATAACTGCTTTATTGAGCTTTAAGTTACGTACTCTATGTCACCCATTTAAATTGTACAGTTTATGGATGAGAAAATGAAATGTGGTAAAAGGAGGATGCCCAGATGATCCTTGACCCCAGAGCTTTGGGAAGAGGTCAGAGAAGGAGAGAAATCAAGGGAAGTAGGAAGGTGAGAAAGGGAAGTAACGGGGAACAGGAGTCGGGGCTTCAGTCATACTACTGATGTGGGAGAGTGGGATAGTTCTATATCCAAGCACAGACTCGACACTGAAAATATGAGCTCTAAACTGCAGTCACTGAACTTTGTAAAGTACCAGTCAGAGTTGCAGGCGGTGGGGGGGCGTGGAGCCTGGTGGGGGCGGAGGGTGGTGGTGAGTGTGGGAACATGGTGGAGAGAAGTTGACATTGAGGGTAAGATTGGTGTTGAAATATTATATACCTAAAACTCAAGTACCAAAAACTAACTGCAGAGTTCAGGGCTGGAGCTCTTTCATAGCAGGTAAGATGCTTGTCTTGCATGCAGCTGTTCCAGGTTGGATCCCCAGTACCATGTATGGTCCCCTGAATCCTCCCAAGAGTGATCCCTGGGTGCAGAGCCAGGAGTAAGCCCTGAGAACTACCAGGGGTGGCTTAAAAATAAATAAATAAATAAATAAATAAATAAATGTGCAATTCAGAGCATTTCAATTTACTCACAAAGTAGTGTACAACCATTACCACAATGATTTAGAACATTTTATGACCCTAGGAACGAAATTCTGTGCTCTTAGCTGTTACCCACTAATCTTGTCTTTGCTCCTGTGTAAGAAACACAGATCTAATTTTTTTGTGGGGATGCACAAGGGTTTCTCCTCACTCTGCACTCAGGAATTACTCCTAGAGATGTTTGGGGGACCATATAGGATACTGGGCATTGAACCTGGGTCAGCCACATGCAAGGCAAATACCCTACCCGCTATACGATCGCCCCAGCCCCTATGTTTCTATCTCTATCTTTATCTTGGATATTTCATATAGATGGAATGATGTTATATCTTGTCTTTTGTGTCTAGTTTCTTTGACCTAGCATGTTTCCATAATTTACCCACTAGTAGATTAGTACTTCACTGCTTCTTATTGCCAAATAGCATTCCATTTACTAACATACCACTTGTTTTTGTTTTGGTGCCACACCAGCAATGCTCAGAGGCCAACTCATTGGTTGAGGATTGCTCCAAACAATGCTCAGAAGACCATGTGGTGCCAGGGATCAAACCTGGGCCTCCCACATGAACCAACAATAAGCCTTAAGCACCACTCAGTGTGGCCCGAAAAAAATAATAATAGTAAATAAGCAAATAGATGATATGATAATAAATCAATGATGTATATAAAAGACTTTAAGGGTATTCCAGTGGTTATCTTGAGAAAATAGAACTGTAGATCTTTTTTTAATTTTAAAAAGAATATATAAATAGCTGTTAAGTTGAACTAACTCACTATGTTAGAGACCTAACTTTTGAAGACTATGAACCATCTCACTTCATGAAAAAGCACACTAAGCAATCATTGTGTGAGTACTATAAAACACAAAAAAAAACCAAAAAAAACCCCGCATTCTTTAATGCTCAACAACTCAGATTATTGATAGCTTCCTCATAAGAGGCTGTATTGATAATCATATATCATTGAAATTTTTTTGATAAGCCCAAAGTCATCCAATAATAACCTCTAAAAGACCTGTAGACATTTATAATGTATTTCATTTTAACATGCTAATGATAAAAATATTAACCTCTTACAATGTGTATCCTGTTTCATCTAATATAATTTTAAGATTTCAAGAACTATATAAACATTTTTCATTAAATCAAACCTCAAAAATATAAAAAATTAAAATATGTTGCCTTTTCTAGCCTTCAGGTTAGAATAATAATTTATGATTCAACTCCTTGGTAGCTTATTATTCAAGTTGGAATAATAATTTGTGATTGACAGAATGTAACAACTAATGCTGAGACAGATGACTAGCAGGTTACTCTTGCACATCTAATGCAGCACAATGATGCTGATAAAACTCCCACCAACATCTCCAGTTCCTACAGGAGCACATCACCAATGCAGTTCAAAGAAAATAAATTAACTTCAGCAGTTCCTGAAGTTTTTTAGAGAAATTTCAAAAGTGGGTTTTCATACCATAATTAATCAATGTACTTGGGGAGCAGTTTTTTGCATAAACATGTTTTAATAGTATACACCTTTACAACCTAAGTGAACATTTGAAACAGAACACTTCAGAGGTTTTATTAATGAATACACTAAATATAAAGTTTATAATAACATCTCTTTGCACCAAAGAAAACAAAATACATTGTATGACTCTGTTACACAAAAGAAAATTAGTCAAGAGACTATGAAGAGCTTTCCCATAAGAATATCTTTGCATTAACTTAAATTTCTGCTATTTGTCAATATAAGAACTTTCTTTCTTTTCTAGCCATGGAATGTCTTACCCAATTTCAGGCTTAGTGAAGACATATAAAGCAAAGGATTATAATGTGGATCACCCACTGGTGGTAAAATTATAATACATTTTTATAAATTTCTTTTAATTTTCATAAATTTGTCAATTATATTTTTAAATGCTAACCAAAATGTTCTTTATTTGTGATTGTATATATGTTGCTCATAAGAGAAATACTGCAATCTCATCTGATGCAATATACTTTACTTTCCTTGTTGTTTCTGCATATTTGGAACATAAGTGATCAGCAGAGACAGTAATATTTCCTTTATGCCAGAAGGACAAGGGGGTAATTTTAAGTGGTGTCACTTTATAGAGAGTAGATCAGTGGTTGCCTGGATTAAAGATGGAGGCAGGACTGGTATGAACAGTATGAGGAAATTATTTATGGTGACAGAATAGCTCTGTATCTTGATGGATATGCCAGTCTACAATTTACATACACAGTTTTTGTGCATACACACACACATACACACACACGCACATGCACATACACAGATACACACTCCTGCAGACATGCACATAATGGGAGGCAGCTATGCTCACCACTATACCACTAACCTCAGACATACACATAATGGAGTGCGTGTGAACTGTGAGCAAGGCCTGCTTCAAATTAATAGTATTGTCCCAATGCCAATGTCTTGGTTTTGTATACTCTAATATATTAGAGTCATATACAATGCCATCATTGAGAGCTGGGGAAAAGATAAATGGGATCTCAGTACAATTCATGCAACTCTGTATGAGTCTACAATCATTACCAAATGAAATGACAATCATTACTTTAGTCAAAAAAATTTTATTGAGGGGGCTGGAGCAATAGCACAGCGGGTAGGGCGTTTGCCTTGCACAGAGCCGACCCAGGTTCGATTCCCAGCATCCCATATGGTCCCCCAAGCAGCGCCAGGAGTGATTCCTGAGTGTTTGAACCAGGAGTAACTCCTGTACATTGCTGGGTGTGACCCAAAAAAGCCCAAAAAAATTTTTTTATTGAGGTTTCATGATTTTATTGAGGTTTGCCGTGCAGGCGAGATACTCTCGGTAGCTTGCCGGGCTCTCCGAGAGGGGCAGAGGAATCGAACTCAGGTCAGCCAACTCAGCCTCATGCAAGGCCTACCCGCTGTGCTATAGCTCCAGCCCATGATTTTTAGTAGTAGTAATATTTATGTTCTAGACTTACCATGCTTCTGTACCATACCACCACAGAGTGCCAATATTCTTCCACTACTGCCTTCTTGCACCCCCCACCCCATGCACACTGTCCTTCTGTGATTGCCCTCCCCCCTCACGGTCTTTCCTCCCCCTCCTCTCCCTTAGCTTTCTCAGTTCTGTTGCAGTGTCTCTGGGTTTGTTTGCACTAGGTTGATAGTCCGTAGCCTTGTTTCTTTCTATTGCACACATGAGTCATCTTGAATTTGTCTTTTTTTTTCCTGACTCACTTCACTTAGCATGATTCCCACCAGTTCCAACCAAGTTGTAGTGAATACAAGATCTGAAAGGTTAAAGGGGAAAAAAAATCTGAAAGGTTTGACCTCAAGTCATTTGCACTTGAGCAGAGAGCCACTGTGCTGTGGCCCAAACAGTCAGACCTGGCAGTTCGACACACAAGGACTTGAGCTCTAGTCTCCCGCTTACCATCTGTGAAGCCCTAAAATGTTTTGTCATTCTTTATTGCCTAGGGTACAAAATAAGCTAATTCAGTGCCTAGAGTTTGCAGGTTGAAGGCCGGTTTTGCTCCACTGGTGACCATTTATATTTCTCTCCAGCCTCACGGCCTTTCCGTGGTGCTCACATCTCCAGCTGTGTTCACGTTCACAGCCCAGATGTCTCCGGAGCGGCACCTGAAGACAGCAGAAATCCTGGGTATGAGCCATCATAAATCTACATAGATGGAGGGTTTCCTAGTTGTACACCTGAAGGTAAATCATGTGCTCACTTCAGCAGCACATACACTAAGATTTCAGGTAAATCATAAAGAAAAATACTGGGAAATGTTGCTTTGAGATAGTTTAATAATAAAATGTTAATGACCTGCCTAAAATACTCTAAAATCTATCATTTTCTGTTCCTAATAATCAGTTAGCAATGAAATGCAGCCATATGTTGCTTACATGAAATGTGGAATAGTAGTATTACCAATGGTTTTGTCTCTAAAATAATAAAACTTTTTATATACTATTAAACTTAGAGCGCTGGAGTGATAGAACAGCAGTAGGGCGTTTGCCTTGCGCACAGCCAGCCCAGCCAAGCTGGGTTCAATTCCTCCACCCCTCTCGGAGAGCCTGGCAAGCTACTCAGAGTATTCAATATGCCAAACACAGTAACAAGTCTCACAATGGAGACATTACTGGGCCCGCTTGAGCAAATCGATGAACAACGGGAGTACAGTGTTTGTTTGTTTAAACTTATAAATGAATTTTGCCATGTTTAACATATAATATATCTAAATCAGAAAGTTACAGTAAATCCTCAGTTATAGAGATTCTATACAACTAGAAACTTTACCTTTTTAAAAATCCTGAAGCCAGCAGGCAGGGCTCTTACCTTTATGTAGTCTACTTGGGTTCAATCTCTGGCACTTCATGTGAACCCAAGCTCTTCAAGGAGTGATCCCTGAACCCAGAGCCAAAAGTAATCCCTAACTATCACTGGATATGGATCACAGATCATCCTGTTATTCGTCGATTGCCTCGAGCAGGCCCCAGTAACGTCTCCTTCATCCTAGCCCTGAGATTATATTCAAGGCTCTTTAGGAGAATGAGACCCATCATTGTTACTGGTATTTGGCATATTGGGTATGCCACGGGGAGTTTGCCAGACTCTGCCGTGTGGGCAGGCTACATTCGGTAGCCTGCCAGTTTGTCAAAGTAGGAATGAAATGTCATAATAAGATGTCACGCGACCGCAAATGCGGCCGTGCTGTTCCGGGAGCTGGTTTTTATAGTCTCAGAGTCTTGGCCACTGATGGGATTACACGGCGCCAGGGGGCCAGTTGGTGGGTGTGACCCCCGCCTACTGGAATTTGGAGGATCTGGGTGGAGGATGCTTGACTCCAATCCAAGTAGGCTTGGAGATCTCGGCCCCAGAACCCACGTGGCTTTGTCCCTCTGCCAGTACCGTCAGGTGTGCGGAGAGTGGTCTCAGCATGGTGGTGGCTGGTCCTGGAGGTCTTCGGCTGCCGGGACCCTGGCCAGGGCGGGGAGGAAAGCTCAACCTGCTCCCCTCCAAGGGTCCCGGCGAGGGATAGCCAGGCGTGGGGGCAGGAGACTGGATATGGCCCAAAACAAAAACAAATAAAAAGTAGGGTCCAGAGAGATAATATAGCAGATGAGGTTTGCCTTGCACAAGGCTGACCCACATTCAAACTCCAACACTTCATATGATTCTCTAAGCAGCACCAGGAGTGATCCTTGAGCAAAAAGCTAGGAGTAATCCCTGAGTACAGCCAGGTTACCACTCTGCCCCCCAAACCCATAAAAAGTCCTCTACAAACCATTTATTTACTAGTCTGAGAATAAGTAATATCTGTAATGTTCATCATACCTTTTTTTTTTTCTTTTTGGGTCACACCCGGCAATGCTCAGGGGTTACTCCTGGCTCGTGCACTCAGGAATTACTCCTGGCGGTGCTCGGGGGACCATATGGAATGCTGGGAATTGAATCCAGGTTGGCTGCGTGCAAGGCAAATGCCCTACGCGCTGTGCTATCACTCCAGCCCCCGTCATACCTTTTGAATCTTAAAATAATTTTAAGTTAGGATAGCTTTAAGACTAAGTATAATTCTGGTATTTTTCTAATAGGGGCACTCTTTGAAGTAGATTTGAGTATTTGACCAACTTCCAAAACATCTCACCCCCAGATTAGTATTTAGAGTAGGAAGGGAAGGGCTCAGAAGACTTCCTTGTGCTCTCCCAGCACCAACCGTTGGAAAGATGATTTCCAAGAAGGTGGAAGTGACCGCAGACCTCCTTGCATATGTGCGTCCCCCTCCATGCGGCACTCACACTTGGAGGTTTGTTCTTTCCCCCAGTTCCAGGTGCTGGGCTGGAAATGGTAATGAGAGAAACTCTGCAGACAAGTGGTGCCAGGGACTCCATTTCCCAGCAAGGACTGCTGGAAACCTGGGGCCCTCTTTCCCAAGGATCTTGTGCCCCGAGTCCTTTTGGACTATACAGCTGTTCAGGCAGATGTCTGAGACTCAGCAGCCATTAACAATATTCAAACAGAATAAATACGAAGGAGCACGAATAGTAGGCTAGATGTTTGATAGATGGAAACTTCTTAGAGAGTTTAAAGCTAACATTCCAGGCAGTTAGCAAAATCACTTGAGAAAGCAATTTCTCTGGTAGATAAAATCCATGCCAAAAACTCATACCAGTTCTTTCATACTTAGAGAGGAAATTTGTTGAATATTATTCTATACTAAACCATTAAATATGTTTCTATATAATTGTATTTTCTTAACTTTAGACCAATTTATTCTCTTTTCTATCCTCTCATTTTTTTCTGAAACACAACATAGGAAAATCCAGGGCTTTCGATAGTATACGTCACGTCTGCAGTCCAGACAATCCATAAAAACCTACATGTGTGGTATCATGTGACATCTCGCCACCTAATCCATATTTTAGCCATCTTATGATTCCATATAATGCAGAGGGGCATGGATCCATGCCAGACAAGTTTTAGCTCCCTCCAGCTACATTCCAAACCAATTTTTTTAAAATTTCTATTAGTGAGACACCATGAGGTAAACCAATTTTATATCTAGTTATAATGTATACTTTTTCCTGAATTACAATAACAGTCCTGGTTTATCAAAGAAAAGAAAAAGTAAATCACTTGATATGTGTTTTGTATGGAGACAAACTGTACCATATAGTCACCTTTTTCTCCCCACCTTCTGGCAGTGGAATTTGAACCCAGGGTGTCACACATGCAAGGCAAGTGCTCTACAGCTGAGCTAGCCCCAATGGAACCTCTCTTTGTATAATATAGAGCACATGGACACAGATTTAAACTGGAGGCATTTTTGTTTGTTTTTTTTCTTTTTGGGGGTCATACCTGGCGATGCACAGGGGTTACTCCTGGCTCTGCACTTAGGAATTACTCCTGGTGGTGCTCAGGGGACCTTATGGGATGCTAGGAATTGAACTCAGGTCAGCCCCGTGCAAGGCAAACGCTCCACCCGCTCTACTATCACTCCAGCCCCGAAACTGGAGGCATTTTGAATAATATATAATGCAACATTCCATTGGAAGGGTGCTTCATTTCCTAGTGATGTGTTCAGCTAGGCAAAAGGTTGGAGAGAGAGTTATGCTGTTGCCTAAGGATCCCTTGAAAGAAAGATTAAAGTAGGGTCTGAAACAAAAGTAGGCCTGACACTCCAAGAAAAAATGATGCTAGGAAATGAGCAAGCAGAGTGAGAAGAGTGTTGGAGGGGAGGGCAGTGGGGCACAGAGACCCTGGGTAGTTGCTTCGCTCGCCCTGTGCAGTTGTGGGGTTTGGAGAGCCAAGCTTGCAGTCCTTGGTATCTGAGTTTCCTTCTCATCAGCTGGGACCACTCCCCGGAGGGGTGAGCCCTAGGTTCCTTCCTGGATGGCTCACACATGCTTTGGGGGAAGTGGATCCTGACGTGGGGGATTCTGGGAAATTGACCAGACATATTATGGATGGGGATGGTGGCTCCTTCTCGGCTGGGTCACACCCAGATTTCTCCTTCTTGTTTGGCAGGTGTGTTTTGTTCTGTTGAGAGAGCATTCCTGTTATGACATAACTGACATGATAGATTAGTTCAAGGTTTTGTTTGTTCTGCCCTGTGCTCTCTCTAGTTCCCTAACCCTATGGAGGACCAGTGATCAGTCTCTGCACCTGGGGACTTGCAACCCCCCTGTCTCAGTGCAGGACCTCTGACTCGGCTGCTGTCTGCTACAATCCCATGTGTTATGCTCAAATCTTGCCCTTGTCAACCTTCTTCCTTTACTAATATGTTATCTGCAGAGTATAAATACTCTTTTTGGGGTGCCCTTGTTTTCTTAACTCAGTCCAACTTGTTCTTTTATATTTATTTAGAGGACTCTGCCTTTCCCTTGGGCATGAGTCCAAAATCAAAAGTTTTGTGCTGGGGAGATAATACGGTGGGCAAGACACTTGCCTTGCACACAACTAACCCAATATTTCATCCTTGGCACCACATATGGTTCTCAGAACCCCACCAGGATTGACACCTGAACCAGGAATAAACCCTAATCACTGCAGAGTGTGGCCCCAATATTAATTTTTTCACTCTTAATTTTTGTAACTATCAAGCGGGACCATTTCCATCCCTGGCCAAATATATTCCATTTTTTTCATGCTTTTTTTTTCTTTTCGGGAGTTAATTTTGGAGTTCTTGTTTTCCTGTATTTGATATACCAAACACAGTAACAATAAGTCTCATGATGGAGACGTTACTGGGCCCGCTTGAGCAAATTGATGAACAACAGAAGGAAAGTGACCGTGACAGTGACAGTGACAATTAATAGGGTGTTTGCAAAGGGCCTGTCTCCTGCGATGTGTGAAAAGAACCAACCCACACCTGAACCTCTAGAGGTCAGCAAATTCCAAGCATTGGGCACATCAACTGTTTCCCTCTTATCGATGCTTTCATCTCGCCTTTTCTCTCCATCTTTTTCTGGCTTCTTTGGCTCAGTGCCTCCTCCTACCCCCACGCACAGGGCAAACAGCCCACTGGGAATTTGAGAGCCAAGTCAATGTTCCCCCCAGCTGCCTTCTATCAGGGAGGCTCTTCTCTCTTACAGAGGCTCTCGGGGTTTCTCAGGCTGGCAGAGTCCATCTGCGGGGCTGACCACTGGGCCAGCCTCCATGCAGAGGCACAGCAGCGCCCTTGTCCTGGCGTTGGGCAGCTGACAGTAGGCTGTGTATTCAGCTATCTTGTGACTGAGTTTCCCCAGGGCCCGCTTCCTCACCTCTCTACAGTCTGCACTTTGTGTCTTCTAGGAGCTGATACCCGCACTGCCAGAAGCACAGATGCTGGGCCTATTTTAGCAGACGCACTCCGGAAATTCTTATTCGATCTGGATGTTGATAATGGTCTGGCTGCCATTGGTTACTCCACAACCGATATTCCTGCATTGGTGAAAGGAACACTGCCCCAGGTAAGAGATGTCACGTGCCACACTCCGTTTTAAGAAGCAAAAATCTGCAGGAAAGATGTGGTTCCTTCTGGGGAGAATTAGGGGTGAGGAAAACCCAGAATCCTCGAGCAGCTTCCTCCCCCCACCACACAGCAGTGTCCCCGAAAGGATCAAGGCTCCCCCACCTTCCTATTCCTCCACAAAACTGGCTTATATGAAGCTTTTATGATGTGACTGAATGGATCCTTTATACAAATTCAAAGCAGAAACAACCCAATTTATTTTGAGGTACCGTTTAAGTTTTTTTTCCTTCATTTCTGTGCTTTCAAGAGTTCCCAATAAAACTATGTGAAGTTATTAAAAAATGGCCACTAGGTTATTTTCCATCATGAAGAGTTACAAGTTGCTATTTTGTGACTATACATGGCTTTTAAATTAGGCCAATTACAGAATCACTTTTTTGCATATTTCATGTATGTATGTATGTATGTATGTATGTATGTATGTATATACATATATGGCACTTTGTTGTTTTGTTTTCTTTCTATTTTTTAAGATGTTGAAGAATTTAACTGAGCTTCTTTTTTTTTTTTTCTTTTTGGGTCACACCCGGCGATGCTCAGGGGTTACTCCTGGCTCATGCACTCAGGAATTACTCCTGGCGGTGCTCGGGGGACCATATGGGATGCTGGGAATTGAACCTGGGTCAGCCATGTTGGCTGCGTGCAAGGCAAATGCCCTACCTGCTGTGCTATAGCTCCAGCCCCAACTGAGCTTCATTTTTGGTAAAAATATTTTTGCTAATTTAAAGTTAAAATTTTTAATCTTTTAAAATGATTTACAAAGCTGTTGATAACATAATTTAAGACATAAAACATTTCAATTCCAAAACCACCACCAGTGACAGCATCTTCCATCGCTGTCACTGTCACTGTCTTTCCATTGTTCATCGATTTATTCGAGTGGGCCCAGTAACGTTGTGAGACTTGTTACTATGTTTGGCATATTGAATACATCACAGGTAGCTTGCCAGGCTTTGCCGTGTGGGCAAGATACTCTTGGTAGCATGCCAGGCTCTCCAAGAGGGGTGGAGGAATTGAACTCGGGTTGACCGGGTTGGCCATGTGCAAGGCAAATGCCCTACCCACTGTGCTATTGCTCCAGCCCAGCATCTTCCATATTTGGTAGAATCTCAATAGATTCAGAGCAGAAGTTCCCAAAGTTATTTGGCCTACCACTCAATTTTCAGGGGAAAAAAATTACTCAGTGTCCCCTGGAAATCTATCTTTGTTAAGCAACTGCACCTGAGGCTATGCTACCCCCCCACCACACACCCATCATTCCAGCACCATCTACAAAGTGATATCACCCACTTTGGGAAACAGTGATTTAGAGTCAGCATGTTTATTCAAGAAATCCTACCATTAACAGTATTGTAATCCACAGTACTTAAAATAAAATGCAATTAAAAAAATTTTTTTAAGTTTCTCACCCTTTGGATCTCTCCTCCATTTAAGACTAGATACCCTTATGCATCCTGTTCTAATAGACCAAAACCTTGTTGTTCATTTCAACTTGCCACAAATGTTATAAATTTATAACATGAGTTACAAATGCTCGGTGTGCACTGTGTTTACATCTCCCGTCCTATCCAAAATGGTAGAGGCGAAGGTCATTTAGACATACAATGAGGGTATGAGAATAGAAACATTGTGTACCCAAAGTACAGATTACATTGTGTGAGGGGAGTGACCTCATTGTTGTTCATCACCTTTACTGTGCCCCTGGAGTAGCAAATATATTGAACGGGTATACTTCTATCCTAGTAGGACTGATGTCTTAATGGCAGTAACAGCCTGTTAAGTTTTCTTACAAATAATTATTAGGGCTCAGCTAAATGTGGAACCACAACAGCCTGTCCAGGTGAACCAGAAATTTAGTGGTTTTCGGGATTCCAGCACTGCCTTTGGCTGTTATAGCGTGGTCCCAAAGAGCGTGTCCTGGATACAAGAGGTCCTCTGAAAAGTTCAGTTGTTTCTAGCCAGAAAAGTGTTTAGGGAAAATGTGTCTGTCAGCCCCTAAGAATCATATGCATGATTTTCAGGTGAAGCTATATGATATTGTTGATTTAACTGCTCGTGGCAATGCATTTTCCAGCCATTGGCCCACATTGTTTTTTCTCTACTGTGCTCAGACTTTCCTTTTTAGAACCTGTTCCAGACAGCAACAAACCCAGACTAATATTTGAAACCACGCACTAACATTGCAAGTAAATTAAGCATCATTCTGAATGCCTCAGTATACTACCATCCTGGGAAATCATAGATAGCAAGACCTTAATTAAACTAGTTTATTGGTTTCACAAAGAATGCTAGGAAAATTGAATCTTTTTAATGAAAGATTTGTGCATAAAGTGGGAAACCAGGATTTCCTCAAGCTGTGTTCATAAAACAACTCTAATCTGTGTGTTGCCTTTTCCTCCTTTGATGTTGTGTCCATGGTTAAGGGAAACAGTTTATTTTCATTACATAGCACTAGCTCTATTTGGATTCCATTTTGAAGAAAGAGAAAGAGTTCATGTCATCAACTTTAGAAGAACGCTTAGAAATAAACTATTCATTTCACAAATGAAGAACTACGATGGGGTATTTGGTAGTGGTGGTTATTATTATTGTTGTTGCTGCTATTGCTATTACTGTTTTTACTGTTTGGGAAACTGAACATTTTTACAGGAGTACTGTGGCACTTTCAGAATTTTATACATGTAACTTACTGATCCTCACTTAGTAGTATCTTCTAGTAAGTATTCACAAGATTTAAGAGGAACACACATTTTCTTGCAAAGCACATTACTAAAGAAGTTATTTCACGTAGTTAACATTTGATAAAGCTTCTTTTACATTCAGCAGTTCAGGCTCAGTTTTCTCTGAGAAGAACAACCAGGCCAGTATTCTTGACCAAACACCGCGGCCCATAGTGGTGGCAGCAAATAGCAGCCCTGTGTACAGAGGCTTCAACTGCCGTAACCAGGCTCACGGGGAGCAGGCAAGAATAAATTAGTCCTCCAAGCTGGATTTCTGAAACCTCTGGAAAGAAACATTTACATTTCAAATCAAAACACTGCACTACTGAGGAGAGCTGTCTACCAGAATGAGCACTTCCACTCCCTGGCGAGCAGGCCAGCTGAAATGTGGTTATTTTATTAATGTGCTAAAGGTATTAGTTTGAATTTATTTCAATGCCTAGGTTAATCAGTTGTCCTTCAGTCTTAAACACATATAAATAAATAATTTAAAATTTTTTCAGCATTGCTGAAACGTTTGTGTGACAGATGATACGACTGGGTATATAGCAAATACTTTATGTCCTTATCCGCATTTAACCAACCATTGGGGATTGGAAAAGTGAAAGAAAAGTCCAAAGTGTTTCTACAGTCCTATACCTGCTTCATCAGTGATGGACAGGATAATTTTAAAGGTCTTTAAGCTAATCAGATAAGTCTTTTTTCCATTCTAAATACGAAAATGTGAGCATTTTGTCTTGCATACAGCCAACTGCAACTGGGATTCCCCAGGTCCACATATGGTCCCCAGAGTACCACCATGAGTGACCCCTGAGCACAGAGCCATGAGTATACCTGAGTACTGCTGTGTGTGTCCCCTATTCTTTCCCAAAAGAAATAAAATGTGATGATAAACCTTGGCTATAGCTGAACTCTGACCCTGTCACTAACATACAAATACACATACAGGTCACCATGAACAAATATCTGCCTTGCAAGCTGGAGCATAGTACAGCGGGTAGGACATTTGCCTTGCATGCGGCCAACCCAAGTTCAATATTTGGCATCCCATATAGTGGCTGAAGCACTGCCAGGAGTGATTCTTGAGTGCAGAGCCAGGAGTAACCTTTGAGCATTGCTGGGTGTGACCAAAAAGAGAAAAAATCTCTGCCTTGCTAGATTTTAGTATTCTTTAGGGTCTCTTAGAAATCTACTAATAAATCAGAATTTACCTTATCTGCACCTATACTCATCAATATTGTCCACTATATCTTGCCTATCTGTTTATTCTTTCTTATTTAATTGTAATGAAATATAACAAAGTTTACCATTTTATATATTTTATGTGTATGATTCAATGTCACTAAGTTTATTTACAATGTATTGCAACCATTACTAGATCCGTTTCCAGAATGTTCTAATCATCTCAGATAAAAACTCTGCTCTGTTGCTTAATGGAAAAAATAACCGCCCATACTCCTTTCCAAAGCACCTGCTATATTTTGATCTATTTTTGTTCCTATGTTAGAGCGATAGCACAGCGGGTAGGGTGTTTGCCTTGCACGCAGCCAACCTGGGTTCGATTCCTCCGCCCCTCTCGGAGAGCCCAGCAAGCTACCGAGAGTATCTCACTTGCATGACAGTGCCTGGCAAGCTCCCCGTGGCGTATTCAATATGCCAAAAACAGTAACAAGTCTCACAATGGAGTCGTTACTGGTGCCCGCTTGAGCAAATTGATGAACAACAGGAGGACAGTGCTACAGGACAGTGCTACAGTATTTGTTCCTATGAATTTTCCTATTATAGTACCGCATATAAGCGGAACCATAACAGTATTTGTTCTTTACTGCTTGCCTGCTCTATTTATCTTAATATAATGTTTCAGTGGGTCAGAATTCCTTTCCTTTATGTGGTTGACTAATATTCCACTCTATTGTTATGTACCATATTATTTTTATTAATTCTTTGAATAAGTACACTTGGGTTGTTTCCATCTTCTAACTACTTTGCATAGTGCTGCTGTGAATTCTGGATCAGAGCTTCATTTCTTTTGGGTCTGTACCTAGGAAAAGAATTATTGGGACATATGGTAATTCTATGTTCACCTTTTGGGGAACAGTCAAACCGTTTCCCATATTAGCTGTGCCATTTTGCATTCCCAACAATTATACATGACAATTGCAGTTTATCCACATATTCACCATCACTGGTTATTTTTAAATTTTTTTAAAATAAACACCCTTATGGGTATGAAGTGATACTCACTATGATTTGGGCTTGCATTTTCCTGAGGGCCAACATCTCCTCTTGTGCTTATTAGTTATTTATATATCTTCTTTGGACAAAAATCTATTCAAAGCCCTTATCAATTTACAAACTAGTTTGTCTGACATTATATTAACCCTTGTTAGATGTATGATTTATATATATATATATATTGTCTTCTATTTCATGAGTCATCTTTCCATTTTCTTATCTGGTGGATATGCGTGAAACGCCTTCATTTTGCGATCATCTGATTGGGTCTATTTTTTACTCCGTTACCCATGTTTGAGATGTCATATCTAAAAAATTCAGTGCTATGAATATTTTCCTTTGTCTGTTTTTAATAGTTATAAAGTTTTAACTTTTATGTTAAGGTCTTTACATCTACTGCTATTTTATGAAAAATTGAGTAAATTCTATGACAAATTGAGTAAATAATGAGTAAATTCTTTACTCATCTTTCCTTCTTTTTGTTCTTCTCTTTACCTGACAAATAATTATTGAGTTTCTGCTATCTCTATATTGTGTGGAATGTAAAGTGTGAGCAGGTAAATAAAAACCTCTCCCTCATATAACTTTCATTCTCATGAAGACAGACAAACCATGGACATTTAAGCAAATCTATAAATAAGATAAAAAGATAAAAATTACTTTTAGGTAATTATCAGTGGTATGAAAAAAACTTGAGTAATGACATAGTGATAGCATGGGATACAATGTGGAGAGAACTCCAGGAAGAGTAGTTAGGGGAAGCTTCTAAGTAGAACCAGAGGCGGCTATATGAAGATTTGGAAGACGAATTCCAGGAAGGAAAGAAGGGTCTTGAGAATGTGTGAAGATTAGAATTGTCATTGGACTGAGGGTGAACCGATGAGACTAAATGAGATAAATTGATAGAGAAAGGGTTAGTGCTCAAACAAGAAGTAGGAAAAGATCATGTGGCATTCAATGGTCATGTTTTAATTGCAGTGGAAATCATCAGAAAATATTAATCAAGGGAGTGATATGGTCATATTTTTACTGGGAAAAAAAATAACTGGCTGTAGTGGAGGAAATGACCTGTTCTTAAGTAGTCACAGACCATTAAAAGACCTTTAAAGTAAGGTGACTTTTATTTAAATTAGAGAGGACCAGTGGGTAAGTGGTGGTATTGAGGATTAGGATTGAATTTATGCCAACTTTACTGAAGGGTTGAACTTGCTGGACAACAGAAAAAGAAATCAAATTTAACTCTTAGAAATCAAGTTTAAACTCCTAGAAATCAAGTTTAATGCCTAGGTTTATGCCTGGGTGACTCAATGCTATTTCTAAGGTAGGTAAGATAGGAGATGCCAATTTAAAGCACTCTCCCTACTATAAACAAATTGTGAGGTGCCATCTCACCCCCATTCTACCATCTACAAAACAAACAAACACTGTCCTCCCATTGTTCATCGATTTTCTCGAGCGGGCCTAGTAACATCTCCATTTTGAGACTTGGTGTTACTGTGTTTGGCATATTGAATAAGTCACGGGTAGCTTGCCAGGCTTTGCCATGAGGGCGAGATACTCTTGGTAGCTTGCCATGCTCTCCGAGAGGGGCAGAGGAATCGAACCCGGCTCGGCCAGGCTGGCTGCATGCAAGGCAAATGCCCTACCACTGTGCTATCGCTCCAGCCCTACCATCTACAATAACCCAAATAATAATAACTGATAAGCATGTATGTACTGTGTGCCGGGCACTTTGACAGGCATTGGACACAAATTGAATACATTCTGCCCTCAAAGAATGTCCGTCTTCTAGGAAATATGCTCCAAAATTAATGCTTATCACAAGAAACTAGACTGAGGGACCCTTGGAAATTGAACCAAACCAACTGAATAAATGTACCAAAGAAATCTGTACATTTAAAATATTTCACTTAGAAATGAGTCATAAAGAGAGGGACAGACATAGAATGACTGCACTCATTTGTGGAATATAAAATAGCATAATATGAGACTAACACCCAAGGTCAGTAGAGACAAGGGACAGGAAGATTGCTCCACAGTTGGAAGCCTGCTTCATGAGCTGGGGAGAAGAGCTGGAATAGAGAAGGGATCACTAAGTCAATGATGGTCGGAGGGATCTCTCAGGATGGGAGATGTGTGCTAAAAGTAGATAAAGGACCAAACATGACGGCCTCTCAGTATCTGTATTGCAAACCATAATGTCCAAAGTAGAGAGAGAGTAAGAAAGAAATTGTCGGCCGTAGAGGCAAGAGGGAATGGTGGGATATGGGGGGAGGGATACTGGGGACTTCGGTGGAAAATGTACACTGGTGGAGGGATGGGTGTTCGATCATTTTATGACTCAGTCATGAAAACTTTGTAACTGTATCTCAAGGTATTTCACTATAAAAGGGGGGGGGGATAAAAAAAGAATTGGGTTAAAGCTAAAAAAATAAAATAAAATGTTTCACTTAGATCCAGAAATTGGCACATAGGAATCCAGGAACCATTATAGGAATTGAAGTAGTAAAAGGCTATGCTTGGCTAGGTTTTGCTGACTCAATAATCCCTGGAGCAATTAAATAAGTCACTCAATTCATTTGAGAAGGTAGAGGTAAAGTCTTAGTTAATATTTGGGGGGCAGAAAAAGAGGACTTAATTGTACATATGCAGAAATGTAATGTCCTACTGAAGTCGTTTTGAATACTCCTTAAGTCCAAGTTGAAAAACAGTCTTTGAAGTCCCTGGTAGTTTTGTTTTTCTTGGCAGCACAAGTTGTACCTGGGACAGTGCTCTCTGCTGGGAGAACCTGGTGGAGGTTACTGACCTACACAATTCAGTCATTATAGGGGGTGTTTTCCCCCCCTAGGTTGGTTTGGTTCTACGCATTTGGGCAAAACTCAAACGCCAGAGCAAAGGGCATTTGGAAATCCTTGGCTTTTGAAAGCTTTGCTGTAAAAAAGATGTCACTTGATAAATCTGAGTTGGAAATAGATGAGTATGAAACAAGAAACATGATTTTTAAAAATATGTACTATATCAAGTCATTGATTCTTCAGACCAAGTTAATCTACACAACTTTGTTGAGGTTACAAACTGTCTTTCCAAAGCTGAGAAACTCCTTCTGTTTATTGTTTCAGGAAAGGGTCACCAAGCTTGCACCACGCCCTCAGTCAGAAGAGGACCTTTCTGCTCTGTTTGAAGCATCAATGAAACTTTATTGATTATCATTTTCACCGAAAGAATTACTGGGGAGTTGCCAAAAAACACTGGTCATGGTAACACTAAATAACAAAAGTTGATCTAGTCAGAGCAAGGTCTTCTCATCTTTATCCATAACTCATCTCTTACTAGTGTGAATGTGACTGACACCCAGCAGAAGGTACTCTGATGTTCAGCGTCAACTCACTTCCATAAAATGGGCCAAGGAAATATCCAGTATATCAGAGCATGCACAAGACTTCAAGGGTTCATATTTCTACCCCCAATCAGGAAGACTGCACCTCCCCTACCATATACCAAATGGTAATAATACAGCATCTATAAAAAAATTCCAGTGCATATACACTATACCAATAATCTTATGCCAATAAGCTATTTAAATACTAGCACAGATATGTAAAGAAAATGGCAAGGATATTTCTGGCTGCAGTGTATCCAATAATTCAAATTGACAGAACCTAAATATTTACTAAAAGTATGCAATAAATAAATCATAGTATATTAATTAATGAAATGTTTCAGTGCTGTTTAATAAGAATGAAGGAAGTATCTGGGAAGGTGGATCAGTGGACCTGCACCTACCTAACAGGATCGACTGTGATTCCTTCCCTCAGCACTTGCTATGATGCCAGTGGCACTTCCAGGTATGATCCCCAGCACCTCCACAAGTTTCTACATGTTCTACATGATCTCTGTGGACCACAACCAACGTATGTGACCCCAAGCAAGTGCTGAACCTAAGTGGGTGACCCCCGGGCATTACAACATTAACAGCAAAGGTAAAAGGAAAAGAAGGGAGTGAGAGAAAAAAATGAGGTGAATCTATTGGAAATATGTTCATGATACTTCACTGAATTGGAAAAAAGTGAACAGACCAATTATTTATTAATATGATCTGATTTACTTTCTAAATTATATCAAAATTCATGTAGACAGAAAAGAAATATATCAAAATTTTAAGTTACATGACTAGAGAAATGGAATTTAAAACATAGAAATTAAGAGGACATGTTTATTATATTTTTTACTTTCACCTTATTTTTTGAACTTAGCATTGTTTGGATTTGTTTATAAAAAAAGTGTGTTTTCTAATTTTACAAGAGGTCTAAGAAAAGAGATAAATATCACTTTAGGTCAGAGTCATCTTATTTTACAAAATTACAAGTAATTATGGCCAGAGAGTATAAGGGTTATATGAGAAGTGGGGGTGGGGGAGATAGAAGGCTTTCGGCTTGCACGCAGCTGACCCCCCATTCAATCACTGATTCCACATACAGTTGCCTGAGCACCACCAGGAGTGATCCTTGAGCACAGAACCAGGATTAAGTACTGAGTACAGCCAGATGTGACCCAGAGACCAAAAACAAAGGGAGAAAAATAAACAAAAAAATCCACACGAGAGAAACTAATGATTGAAAGGCAAAATAAATTCTACAATATAAAATAGGAGAAATTGATTCTCCTGTTGAATAGATTGCTCTTTTAAGAAAAAATATGAATGGCCTAGATACTAATTTCCTATTTAGAAAGATTTTTCTAATTTCCAGAATAGAGAGTCATTCAAAAGCAAAAAGTTTCAAAAAGCATTCAAAAGTTTCGCACTTGACAGACTTCAGCCTTGCAGGTCCACTTGACGTGATCCTCTGAATTCCCAGATGCAGCAGCAGAAGTTTCAATGACTCATCTTTCATCACTAAGGCTACCACACTGCTCTAACTTTGGCAGTCTAGCTCTCAGTGCATTTGTGCATTTATTTATTGTCTTGTTCATTTATTTATTTATTGGTTTGGGGGCCAAACCTGACAATCCTCAGGAGTTACATCTGGCTCTGCACTCAGGAACTACTCCTGGCGGTGTTCAGGAGACCATATGGCAAGGCAAGCACCCTATCTGCTGTACTATTTCTCTCACCCATTATTCATTTTTTAAAAATCAGATTAAAGTCTTCGTCAAATAAACAATGTATATATAATTACATTTGATTTTTTTAAATGGACATTAATGTTCCATTTAAATTGCTCAGGCCGATTTTAAGCACAGCGGGTAGGACGTTTGCCTTGCATGCGGCTGACCTGGGTTCGATTCCTCTGAAGAGCCCCACAAGCTACCAAGAGAATCCCACCTGCATGGCAGAGCCTGGCAAGCTCTCCCTGGTATATTCAATATGCCAAAAACAGTAACAACAAGTCTCACAATGGAGACGTCACTGGTGTCCGCTCGAGCAAACAGATGAACAACAGGGAGACAGTGCTACAGTGCTACTTTATAAAGGTCTTTATTTCTTGAAAATGACTTTTATTTTATTTTACTTTATTTTGGATTTGGGGACCACACTTGATTACTTCGGGCTTACTCCTGACTCTGTGAACATATTGGGTGCTGGGGATTAAACCCAGGTTTACTGCATACAAGATTAGTGCCTTACATGCTGTACTCTCTTTTGCAGTATTTTGTTTGAGAACAACTTTTAAGTAATTTGGGGGGAGTTTTCTCTAGCCATAAATGTAAAACATGTTCAGTACCCAAAACAGATAATACATGGGTCAATAAAAAAGAAAATATTTGTTCATATTATATCCACCCAAAAGATATCTTTTTCCAGTCATTCTGAATATATATGTATATTCATATACTTATACATATGAACATATGTATATACATATATGCATAAATATATATGCATATAGGAATTAATATGGCTACCGAGAGTATCCTGCCTGCACAGCAGAGTCTGGCAAGCTCCCCGTGGCATATTTGATATGCCAAAACCCAGTAACACAGATGAGTCTCATTCCCCTGACCCTGAAAGAGCCTCCAATTTGGCACTTGCTAAAATCTCAGGGCTAGGATGAATGGAGATATTACTGGTGCCTACTAGAGGAAATCAATGAACAATGGGATGACAGTGATACAGTGATATATACATATATATGGCAGATACTTTTTCTTTATTTAGATATGGTCCTATTACATTTTTAATTTTTAAATAGCATTTAAATAGTTTATACCAAGGACCAAAAAGCAAGCATAAGACAATATCAATAGACCTTTAGCTATGCCTTGTAGACCATACCTAATCAAAATTCTCTTCAACTTTTCAGGAGAACTATGGGTGCTGAAAGTGGAAATTATGTGAATAAATCATAGAACAGCAAAACCATACCAATCTAAGGTCTGTCAGGAAACTTTAATGAAAGTTGTTAATGAATATCTCTGAATACACTGTGTATAGCAAAAACAACACACACACACATACAGAGGGGGAGAGAGAGAGAGAAAGAGAGAGAGAGAGAGAGAGTTCAAATATTTGTAATATAGTTTGCCAAATGATGTGACATTAGGAATTGGGGATCAAGGCCCCTGGCCTTGCTCTAATTCCTTGATCTATCTGACCCTTACATCCTTCAAACAAAGCCTCTAGTTTGAATGTCAAAGACTAAATTTGATGTATGACCTACTCACAGTGTGAGGTATGACTTTGGGAAATGTAATGTAAAATAATTTGATATGAAAATGTTGTCTCTGTCTCTGACTCTCTTAAATGCTTGACGTCTGACGACCAGTAGCCAGATGTCTAATCATGACTCACTCTGAGGACTGTTTGGTGTTCAGACTGCTAATGACTGTGCAGGGGAAGAATTTAAAGGTCAAATCTAAACAGACAGATTTAAGAAGACTTTTTTTTTTATCTTAATACCCATCATTTTAGTCCTTAAAACTTGAGAACATAGGAAATATGTGTTTCTTGACTATCTATCAAAAAGATATTAAAATATATCTTTCTTAGCTATCAAAAGAGTGTGAGAGACGAAATTAGGCCCATTTCTGTAAGCCAGTTTGAGGTTTCTGAGGTAATAAAGCATTTTTCCAAGTCAACGGGTCAAATCCTTTCCTCCCTTTCTTTTTTTATTTTGTCTTCATTCTTTCTTTTTCTTTTCTTCCTTTCTTCCTTCCTTCCTTCCTTTCTTTCTTTATTTCTTTCTTTCTTTTTTTTTAGTGATTTTCCTTAAAGATTGAGATGGTCTTAGGAATCACAGCTCCATTTGCATGTATTAATTTAGATTAATTTAGTTGCTAAGGCAATAGTATTAAAATTGCTGGGAAGATAGCTCAAGAGCTAGGGTGCTTGTCTTGCAAGCTGAAGTCCTAGTAGGCTCTCCAGTACCCTGTGGCCCTTGATCATACCAGGGAATGACCGTAGCACTGAACTTGGAATAGTATTTGAGCACCACCAGGTGTGGAAGCACACACACACAGACACACGCACACACACACTTCAAAAATCTGTGTTACTTTCACAAAACTATCATAGAGAGAGGTATTTTCTTTTAGATAATGCACATACTGGATACTTATGCCATAAAATAAAACACTAATTTATTTTCAGTAAGCCACATTTCCATGATTATTAAGTGCCCAAATACAGCAGAATAGATGTGTTGTATAGACTTGTCCCTTCTCCAAACTTAGGGAGGACTGAGTGGAGCCTGGCACTGGCGTCACTATGGCGACAGCTGTGGGGGTCTTTCCTGTGGTCAGTGAAGTCTGCTCTTGTAATATAACAAGTACAGTGGAGAACGACATGGGACAGGGGTGCCGAGCAAGCACAAGAATTGCTCTACTGGCCTTTTAACCCTGAGAAAGATTAATGTTGTTTGGATTAGAAACTGTACCCTAATGAAGGACTGTCGCCTCCGGGGACTGGGCATGAGAAAGGGGACTGTTCACCCCCGGGTCAACATTGCACAGGCTGCTGTGTCTCCGATGACCAGCTACCCCACGCAACCAGACAGCTGCCCCTGTCCCTTGGGAGCTGTTGAGGAAGCCCGGCCACATTCAGCCATCACCATCACAATAGCCTTCAAGAGGCATCTCCTGAGACAGGCCACTCTGAAAGAACTGAAATTGGTTTTTGAAGCCCTAGGTTGAATTACTGCAGCTGCGGGTGGGAGTGCCTTGCTTCTTAGACTGCGATTTCATTGTCTGTCCATTTATGCAAAATAAATGCTGCCCCCTGCCATGGGCTATCCCAGGTGAAATTCATCATCAAACTCTGAACAGGACAGGTAACTTTAAAATAACCCTGTTTCAAGTTCTAAAATTTGGATGCTTTCAATAGGTCTTTTGATTATGAAATTGGAAAAATGATTGAAATAATCATAAGCAGAACTGGAGAGAGTACAGCAGATAAGACACTTGCCTCACATGCTACCAACCCAGTTTTAATCCCCAGCACCACAGATGGTCTCCTGAACATGCCAGGAATGATCCCTGAGCACAGAGCCAAGAGGAAACTCGAACATGTTGTGGCCCCAAGACCAAAATAAATGAATAGTAATTAACAAAAATTTAAAGAGAAAGGGCTGAAGCGATAGCACAGCAGTAGGGCGTTTGCCTTGCACACAGCCAACATGGCCGACCCGAGTTCGATTCCTCCTCCCCTCTCGGAGAGCCAGCAAGCTACCGAGAGTATCTCGCCCGCACGGCAGAGCCTGGAAAGCTC